TGCGTTCCCTGCCCGCTAGGCAGTCAAGCTATAATGATAAAAATGCATAAACCACACACCAGCCATCTCACACACATACATACACTCAAGAGGCAGATAGGCAATCGACAGGTTCGTTTTAAAAAGGCACCGGATAAGAGATTACCTGCCTTGTAGCCTTCTGGAAGCCGGAAGTGGACACAGAGACAGACCGACACAAAACAGGAGAATACAGGCAAACTGCCGTATTAGGAGGTGATCAGGCTCCGGTTGTCCCACTTTCCGGAGGTCCGCTCCAATCCCGTTTTCCGCCCGTCCGAACCGGCGAGATCCGGTGCTCCACGTTGGGCGCCAAATGATGTGGAAATCAATCAATAAATTGATTATCTTATGTATCTGCCCCCGGCCAAATTAAAGAAGTAATGTGTGCACGCTCCTAAAGTAATTCACACCAGACACAAGTTTTGGGTTAATGAAAAACTTGAGGAATGTTTATTCTGAGGGGACGGCATGTCCCTTATAAAGCAAAATTACATCATATGCATTGTCAGAGATAACATGAAATAATACATCAATAATTGGTTAGGTGTTAAGTGGTTTATTTAGTGCTCTTCCTATCGGGTGTGATGTCACTGGTATCTTGGTGGTCTCCCCCAGATTCCAGCGCCATCTTGTTAATTAGGGTTTTAGTCGATGTCAAGAAGGAAACTCCCTAGCAGCCATTTTAGGTAAATCACATAGAAAGTTGAATAATGCTGATTGTAGTTATGCTGAGTAAATAGGCATTTTACTAACATGGATTGGGTTAATATTTTTGTCCACAACACCCATCATCTCAGTGTAGGTCCTTCAACAGTTACGTTTATGCTACAACTCATTAAACTATCAACATTATTCTCTAGTGGATTTCCTTGACTCTCTAAATGGGGAGAAACTTGTTATCACTGTATGTCTCTTCCTCCCAATACAAATTTATCCTGTTATTGAATTATTCAAGCTTTATTGTTTCAAGTTCTTGTATGTCTACTTGCATATCATCCAAGTCTTAGTCCTGTTGGGCACCAAGCCTTCTCTAACGTTGGCTGAAACCAGATGTTGATCCTGCGAGTCATTTATTGGCTGAAAGCATCAGCTGAGCACTCTCAGCAAATGAATGACCCTCTGTGCAAAGAATATGTACCGAATTGACATTAGCCAGCCTTGAACTCTTGGTAACTCCACCAGCCTGGATCTGCAGATAGCCTAAATACCTCTGTTCCTACAGCACTTCAAACTGAATCACTGCACATACACACTCTAAGTACCATGACCACTTTAAAATATTTATGTGTACTTATGTGGTTATAGTGCTTGGAGCAACAAATCAATCTGTTTAATGATTCATAAACACAATGGTATCCATTTAAACTGAAAAGTCCTAAGTAGCGTGAGTTGAACAATTTTTTCAAACCAATTCAGTAGTTACATTTATATTTGTCAGCCGATGGCGTTTTTATTGTTTATTCTCTACATATATTTTTCTTACCATGAATACATTATTTATTGTTGTTTATTTATGAGTCAGTCAGTCTGATTACGTGTGAATGGTATTGAAGCTTGCTCAGTCATATTAAACCGCTATGTAATGGATTTAAAACATTATTATGGTATATATTAATGTATATAAAAATTAGGTATTCTAAACGGAATCATCTGCCAGATATCTATATTTAGAACACTTGCTTGTATATTGTAATCTAAGGATGCTAGTTTCCATTTTGAGAAAGATATAATGCTCAGTACCTCCAGAGAGAATAAATAAACAGAGAAAAGTAATTGGTCAAGGGAAATATGCCGCCAAAAAAAAGGAAATAAGTCAAAACCAAAGTACATTAATGAATAAAGCACTCCAGATGCTGTGGACCAGATCTCACATAATGCTCTTGCAGCCATAATTCTGGCAAAGCATCAGGGGATATGTAGTCCACAACATCTGGAGTGCAGAAGCTTTTCATCACAACATGTGACATTCTAATGGAAGTGTAGGTTTATGAGATGTTGACCTCATCAAGCTACGCCAATCGTGCATCTCCAGAATGTCCATGGGTACTACAACATGCGCTCAACTACATTTACAAGCAACCACAAAAGCAGAATTTTAATGTTTTGTGCAGACTTTTTATGAGCTACGAAGGATGACTGCTAAGTGGGAGAATACAGTATCCGTGACAAGGTATACATCAGCAGCATTTAAAATTGATATACATTTTCACTCATCTTCATTTATATATAATTATATTAATAGCTTATAAAAAATACTGACACAACTCTTACAATCCACATTAAAGCACATCAATATAAATGTACAGAGGACAATTTAATATGCAGTTACTTTTGGACATTTAAACATAATATCACTGTGTATATCTTCTACACTAGTTACAGTTGAGTTTTCTTTCTTTCTTCTCCCTAAGAGGGACCAATAAAGATTTATTATTTTTTAGTTCAATTTATGCTCTGTGATTAGCAATTTATTGCCTTATACTAGTGGAGCAGTCACATTCAGGGCATAGAGACTGTATTTGGGAGCACTTTTTAAGTTAACCCATTTCAGTCTCTTCTCAATTCCGACATTCAAACAGGTTTATTTATTTATGAACTGAATGTATGTGAAGGGAACAGATCTGTGAATGTAACTTAAATTTATTTTCCATTCATCCAGCCATTTGTGCCCTCGATCTGTCCATCCATTCATCCATCCAAGGATCTAATTTTTTTTATACCGTTCTTTCCATTTTTTTGTTGTTGTCAATCTTTGTTTTATTGAGGTATGTATGATAGCATGACAAACAGTAATGGTTCCAAGATATAATACAAAGGTGTAGAATGTTAAGATGTACATTTTTTGCAATACCTCATTCCCCTTCCCCCCCACCTCCGTTAAGAACATGTTAAACAGTAGGATTCATACACATAAGCAACCAGTACTCGACACACACTATCAATTTTGCTGCTCAATCTATGTTAGACATAGGAAAATAAAACAAAACAAAACGGGTGAGCAGAGCGGAATTCGTAATGAGGCTTGAAAAAATAATTTGGGTGGGTTTGTAGGTATTTTTTAAACCATTATGAAGAGCACCCAAACAAACAGTTATAATAAATTTAAATTTAGACTAAAAATCTTTGCTTTGTCTGTAATGGAAGTAATTAGAACTGATTCTATGTGATGGGAGTTGTGATTTATGAATCTCCTTTGCCTACGCAGTCATTATATATAAGTATAAGTAACCTGCTGTATACTTGGTAGGGTAAGCCCATTGCAATTTTATCCATGACACAGCCAGTCCAAAATATACAGCTGCATTGCATTTGCAAATAGAAATAAAGTCAAAGCATTTTATATACAATAGCTAATAAGAGTCAAATAAAAAAAAAAAAAAAGCATGTATACGCAATATAGTGATAAACTGCATTCCTGAAAAAACAGAACATTTTGCAATACAAATAGTTTTTAGAGTTTTTATTTAATTAATATAATGTAGTAACTGCTTGTTTTGGGGACCAAATGTATATCAGAGATTTTATGCAATCACCCAACAATGTATTTGACACAAATATATATAAAAGATTTAAATTTAAAAGAACACTATAGTGTTAGGGATACAAAGCTGTGATAAAAGGGTTAAAAAAACTCTTTAAAACACTTACCTTATTTCTGCACCGAGGTCCCGGGGTGCTGAGTCTGTCTTCTCCCAAATCATCATGAGGGGGAACCTAATGCGAGGTATGAGGACACCCAGCATCGTTTCAATACTCCGTTGCACAGCAAGAAACGTCTCTAGTGGCTGTCTAAACAATGGAAACATTGCAGTTTCTCTAAAACCTTTTTTTGTGACTGGCCCCCATCTTTTGTTGTTACATTTTAGTAGGGGACATAGTTTCCCTCGGAATTCAAGAGGTACTGGTGGCAAACTTTATTCCAGACAATAAATCCAAACATTATTATATAACCCCTCACTGGAGTGATGGAGAACCATTATACATGCCTCCAGGTAGGTAAGTGGATTACCAAAGCTTTTGTTATTGTTTCCCTCACTTGTCACAAATGTGAGAAGGGATATGAAGGATTGTTCATGGTAAATTAGGGATGATCAATGTTCTGTGCAAATTTCTAACCCTTTATTCTCTATATATTTGATGCAAGGATAGTAGGAACCACTGTGAGAACTCCCCTCAATATATAGGAGTCAGGTGGTGTCCCGACTCGAGATGGGGATTGAGATAGAGGGTTTGGGTAAGAGGTTACTTATTAAAGAAACATTGTATGAAAAACAATATGTTTCATTTCTAACAACTTGTCAGTTTCAAAATCTCTTAAAGACAAAGTACATAGTTTAAGAAATACAACTTTTCATTCTAAAACTTGTAATATTTGCATATTCTAATAACAAGTTCTTTGTGATCTAAATATTAAATCTCAAAATAACCACCAACAATTTTAGGGAAAATGGAGCAATTCTTCTGTGCTCTGTTAATATTAGTGAGTCCAGCTGATCTTCATTTATTTTATTTAATACATTTTTAATTCCATTGACTATTGCAAATGGAATAGTTTTAGAACTTTCAAAAGTAGTATTTTCTCTTTTTTCAATTATATTTTGTTCCATATTTTTAATGTATTCTCTATAACATTTTAAAATTTGGGGCCTTCGGGTGTGTCTCATAAATAATACCAATAAATAATAATAAATTCACCCCTACTTGAGGTCACAAAAAGGCATACGTTTTGTGAAAATTGTTCATTCTATTATTTAAACAATTAGCATTAATTGGGTGTGCTCTTTGTTTTATATTTCTTTAGGGCCTTCTACAAAACCAGAAATACTGTGCCCATAAAAAAAACTAATAAAAGTGACCTCACTCCATCAAAGGAGCTTCTTATAAAAGTAGGTCAGAGCCAAAGAGACATTTATACAACATTTGCTACAAAGGCAACAGTTTTTCTTCTGCTTACAACTGAGTAAACATTGGTTATGAAAATGACCCACTCATCAATCAACCGTTACATGAGGGTACATGATGATGGAAGACAGTTCCCCATTTATTTCGGCCATCACTCTCCAGTTTATCACGGAAGTTCATATGATGACCACTATAAGAGTTCCTGCCGTTCAAATCATGGTGACCTTTACAAAGCTCCCATTGCCCGGAGAAACAAGAAAAAAATCTCTTTTTCCATACATTCTTCAGTCAGCAATGATCATGGAACTGGACATGTCCATGGTGGTCACAGGTACCAGCATAACAGCTCTGGCAGACATAGTGGTTGGAATAACAATGGCCTACTGAGCATCAATGAGAAGGAAACCATGAAAGTTCTCAATGAGCGGCTGGCATCCTACCTGGAGAAGGTTCACTCATTGGAGCAAGAGAATGGTGCGTTGGAAACAAAGATTTGTGAATGGTATTCAAACAATGCCCCCAGCTCACTACCTGACTTTAGCCAGTACATGATGATCATCCAAGAGCTCCAGAGTAAGGTATGTCTACATGAATCTAGTATATTATTAGACCAACTTTCAGCACTGTAAATGTTGTGGACTATATCTCAAATTGGACCCTTACAGACCTTATCATGGGAGATGTAATTCACCACATCTTGAAGTTTGCCTACCCTTTGTCAATTCAAAATACTGTTACTCCAATAAAAAAGGTATTACAAGATGTAAATGTATTCTGTTATTCTACATTTAGAACATTAGTACGTCTATATGTTAGGGAGATTTTTGACATGCATGGCTTCCTGGCTCCTGGTGTTTGGCAAGTGTTGCTTTGAATTTGCTTTACATATTAAGGGCTTTGTGGTGGGATATTCTAAATTATTTGTGGAAATCTAGTGGATACAAAAAATGTGCAAGAGAAAGAATAATGTTAAAAATGGCCTCTTATATAAAAATAGTGACCAGAAACTGACGTGCTGGTGTAGCGTTACTTACCCTCTCCGGGGGCCAGCCGAGGTCCTCTGTTCCCGCCGCTCGCGGCCGCATGTGGCTCGTCCGACGGAGTTTACAGGAAGACGGGCACTGACTGCGAGACATGGTCACGTGCCCCGCCTGGCTCTAAGAGCATGCCGCGCGTCTCGGGCGTGCTCTTAAAGGGACAGTGGGTGCCAAAATGTGAAACAGTCTCCCATTGGCCCATGTCATTCCACATTCCTCATACACTCGCATTTTGGGGGCGGGGATATGACAGGGGCCAATCAAATTGAACACTAGGGTATTTATACTCACCTTTTCCTTAGCTCCCTTCCCTATCGTGGTTTCTAATTCAGTTCCCTTTAGTGCTTTTATCGTTCAGTAGTGGTTTTCTCTTTATCCCTGGTTTGTCTTGTTTGCCGGCTTCCTGACTCCTGTGTACCAGACCTTGGCTAGTTCTTGTTTTCGCTGTCTCTCTGTTCCCTTGACCTCGGCTCATTCCTGACTCTGTCACTTCTCTGTACTACGTCGAGTCTGGCCATTCTAAGGCCCGGTAAGACATATCTGCTTTATCTTGTCTCTTGTTGGACTAAATCTTGCGTGTTGGGGTACACTACCGTGACAGTTAGGAGTTCGTGGTGGCTAGACAATTGGCAAAAGTCTACATCAATAAATAAGTTCATACATAATCAACATAATTAAATTTAATATGTTTCCTCTAAAGTGACATGTTTCTGATTTGTAATAATTATTAGCTTGCTATATATTTTATTTACAGATAACACAACTTACTACTGAAAATGCAAGTATTTTTCTGCATGCAGACAATGCAATGTTAGCAGCCGAAGACTTGAGAATTAAGTACGTATATTTTTTAAAATATATTTTATTAATTAGACTTGATAGATATGTAGTGAAAAATAATTCAAAAAATACTATTACAAGGCACTGTAAAATAGCAATTTTAAAACAATATACATTCAGTCGTGTTATACACTTTTTTCAATATGTGAAATGGTTTTGTTTTATTTGTTTCTATTCAGAACTTTGTAAAAATTACAAAGGTTACTGTAGATTATAAAAAGTAGGCATAAATCCTTTGTTCTCTATATCACAGCATATGATAACAAAATGACCATTCCTAGGTCAGAAGCTCAACATTGATAAGTGAGTGCAATAAACAGTATGAACAATAGGGAATACTGCATTTGGAGGGGGGAGGAGGAGGAAATAACATTAAAAAAAACCAATTGTTTAAAAAATATATACTCCTAATGAAAGCATGCATGTTTATAATTATTGTTTAACAAATATACTCCCAATGAAAGCATGCAGGTATATAATTATGACTTTTTTACAGGAGAATAACTAAATATAGCTTCTGTCTGAAGTCTCTGCAAGCCAGACTCCCTAATGCAGCACAATGAGAAGTCTTTGCAATGCAAGTATTCAGAGCAATTTCCTGTCTCTTGAGTTTAGCTCCACTTAGCTAACCAAACCAGGAAGTAACAGGACTGATTGTCTGATTGGCAGTCTGGCGGTGTAACAAAGTAAATTTATAAAAAATGTCAATTTTAATGAAATCTGCATTTATATAAAATGGAAATTAAAGAGGATATACTTTTCATACATAACGCGTTTATGTATACCATAATGAAAAGGAAAACCTTCAAACTACATTATATTTAATAGAGTGCCTTGTTGTTTTGTTTCTGCTTGATTTATATTTTATAATCTAAACTAGGTATGAAATAGAGGCTTTCTTGAGGAACAATACAGAGGAGGATGTTTGTGTACTTCGGCAAGGCCTTGGGGATCTTAAAAGGGAGTTGCAAAACTTGAATGTTCACGTTAATTGCCTACAGGAAGAGCTTCTCCAGTTAAAGCAGAGCCATGAAGAGGTAAGGAAAATCTTCAATGACTTTTGTATTGTAGGACCAGAGTCATTTTGGCATTCTTGCTGTGCGTGAATTTTTATTTTATTTATTTAGAGTTTACAGAGACACTTGAATTTTTGAAAGGGCAGGTGCGGCTTTCATTTGATTCCTTGTTCATATGCATAAATCATATCACTTTGAATTAATACAATTAAAGGAACACTGAGCCTTACATGTATTCCTAACGCTACAGTGCTTTATTTGCAGATTTGCTTAAGGTCTGCCTCCCCAACTTGGAGTAAAAAAACTTAAAAAAAAAAGGTTTTATGCACCTTTACTCCAGCATCAAGGAAACCTCCTCAGCACTTCGCATCCCGCTGTGTCACCTTGAGGAGCACTGGAAACTGACGTGCATGTGCTTGGAGGGCCACACGCACATCCAAATGCTTTTTATAGGAAAGCAATCAATTCAATGCTTTTCAATGAGCGTCCACATCACATGGCCGAGTTTTACTCAGTCAGTGCAGCGTAAGTGCCTCTAGTAACTGTCAAGAAGACTGCCACTAGAGGTGCATTTAACATTGCAATGTAATCATTCTAAAAAACTTATTTGGTCATGCCGAGTCATGTCTCCCTTTTGGGCCTGACTATATTTATTCTCCTTCTCCAACCCAAAGTTCATCAACTGGACATATTCACAGACATAGTTCACAGGGATCAAAAACATCTGATCATGCATATACTTTTGGTTTCTAAGGTGTGTAAAGCATGGACTTGGAAGTCCCAGTTAGACCCGTATTAGCATATATTTTTTGAGTCAGTTGACCAACACCTATCTGTATGAGGGTATACACCATAGGATATAGTGTACATCAGACAGATTTGAGAAATTGTGGACCTCTTGGGATATTTTTGCATCCTCATAGTTAAAGTTCTAGGCTTTAACTGCACTGCATCCCCCTATTCTCCTTTTAGTTTGTGAAGGCTACAATTATACTCCTCTTTATTGTTGTCATCTGAGGTGCAATTGTTTAACCTTTTTCTCTTCTAATGACTTCCTTATTTTGGACCCATGGAGGAGGTGAATGTGCTGCGTGCTCAACTGGGAAACCGAGTCAATGTGGAAATGGATTCTTCACCATCTGTAGATCTGAACAAAGTGTTGTCTCAGATCAGAGAAGAATATGAAAACTTGATGGAGAGGAACCTTAAAGAGATCGAAACCATATTCCATCAGAGGGTAATCCAGTTTATTGACCATTGTTTATATCTAATTATCTATGTTAATAGAACATACATATATGTGTAGATATAGACATACACATTTAATAGATAATACAAAAGAAAACAAGTGAACTTGCCACCTGCAAATGAGTGGCATAACTGCAAGCTCTTTACACATAAACTAAACCCCATATTAAATAGTTGAATTCTTGGGTTTTTTCTTCTTGCAGACTTCAGAGCTGGACCGTGATGTGAATTCCAGGGTGGAACAGATGCAGTCAGTTAATAACGAGTGCATTGATCTGAAGCTTTTAGGACAGAAACTTGAAATCGAGCTTGAGAATCAAATTAAAACGGTATGTCACAATGACATGATATGAGCTCCCCAGTCATTCCCTCTACCATAACATTTTGGCAAGAAATGAGTGGAAATATGCCATGTGATGCACAATCCCCTGTTTTGACTAATTTCCCTGATGATGATATGTGAATCATAAGGTATGATCTAAAATAGAATGGACAAAGAGATGCCAATTCATTCTTTTTTAAAGAACATAATGTGGTCAATGGAGGCTGGTGGAATTTAAAGATGATGTGGTGCTCTTCCCGGCTCTCTCCAGTTGATGCTATGTACTCAACCTCTGGCCCTATGTCACATCATGCATTGCTCAACACCATTAACCTTTAATTAAATGAGTATAGGAAACTATAGCATGTGGGAAACAATAGCCACTTTAAATGGACAGAACGACATGCAGGCCGTCTTTTTTGGTGACTAGGATCTGATGACCCTATGCAAAGCCTATGTGAAGGGTTTATGCGTGTGTGTTTTTAAAAAAAAGTCTCAACCTCTTAACACTTTATTGTTGTGTTCATTGCAGACATCCGCTATGAAAGGGTCTCTAGCAGAGATAGATGCATCATTTGGTTCTCAGTTATCTCAACTACAGTTGCTTATTAATAATGTTCAAGACCAGTTATCGCAGATTCTAGCTGAATTTAAATATTTGAACTTCAAGTACCAGCTCCTCATGGACCAGAAGACTCACCTCGAGAAGGAGATCACTAAATATAAACAACTAATAGACACACAAGCTACTAAGTATGTAAACAAATTCTTCTTTTACTTTTTTAAAGCATAGTTAATTTGCTAATATCTTGAGTTATTTAAAATACTAATATTTAACTGTTTGTTTTTTAAAAGTTTTTTTTATTTTTATTTTGACTTGGATTTAAACCAAGCAGATAATGGATATGTATGTAAACAGGTTGTTGGTCCAAGGAGAAATCCATTATGGAGTCAAGAAGGAATTTTAACCATTTTTTGTGACAATTGAAAATGGCTACAATTGGGTGTTTGTCTTTTTCTTAGGATTAACCATATAAAAGAATGTATTTTAAAATTGAGCTTGATAGACTTTAGCCTATTTCTAACTTAGACAACTATGTTACTATGTTATCAAATGACTTCCACAAAGCCACAGAAAAAGTATTGTAGTTAAAGGGATAATATAGTTACCCAGACCACTTCAGCTCAATGAAGTGGTCTGGGTGCCAGGTCCCTCAGGTTTTAACCCTTCAGATGTAAACAAAGCAGTTTCAGAGAAACTGCTATGTTTACATTAGGGGTTAAGCCAACCTCTTGTGGCTGTCTCCCTGACAGCTGCTAGAGGCGCATCTGAGACTCTGGATGCGAAGTTCGCATCCATCGCGCAGAGCGTCCATAGGAAAGCATTGAGAAATGCTTTCCTATGGACTGTTTGAATGCGCGCACGGCACTTGCAGCGTATGCGCATTCCGCTCCACTGGGGAGCTGACGTCGGCAGGGGAGGAGGGGTCACGAGCGCTGAGGGAGCCCGGCGCTGGAATAAGAAAGCTGATGAAGGGGTTTAAGGGTGGGGGCAACCTCAGGACACTATAGTGTCAGGAAAACCGCTTTGTTTTCCTGACACTATAGTGATCCTTTAAATATATAAAGGTATCATAACCAAAGGTTCTATTGAATAAGTACAGTACTTCCAAATAAAGGGCCAATTTCAAAAGGGTGAATATGTTTATACAAGTACTGTACTATAAAAAGTAAGGCAGACACAGCATAGTGCAAGATGTTATATGCGAACATTTCATTAATCAGAAATAGATCACAGAAATATGCACCATATTTCTAATGCAAAGACAGGCTTTGGGACTCTAGCTGATTTTGGCTATGGTGTCTCGAAGGTTGCCCAGGGACAAAAGACTGGATTGATACCTGGAGGGACATTACGCAAGATCCCACCTGTCAAGCTATGTTCTCCACTTGAGACAAACATTAGAAAACACTGTTGTTAACCTCAACACAATTCAGAGAGCTTCATAGTTAAATATTTTGCTCATTATTGCATTTTTCAATTTAAATAAATATTCGTGTTTTGTTTACAAATAATATTTTTAAATAATTTTTAAGCTAGTCACTAAAATTCCTCATTAAATCACTTATGTATTGCTGAAATATTCAAAAGAAAGTACTTCCAGTGTTAACAAATTACTGCCATACATCACTAGCGGTGCCCATAATGGGCAGACACCCCCAAAAAAGGATGGTCCCATCCACGGTGGTTCCCTTGCAGGCCCCCAGCCTTCAGGACAATGCAGAGAGTCTGCTGAAGCAGTCACCGCCTATGCTCAGCCCACCCCTGGGTACACTGTATTTCAGCAGAGTAGACACCTTCTGTTCAGGTAAGCAGGTGCCTACTCTGCCTTAGCAAACAACTGGCTGCCTCTTGGGGGTCCTAAGTTAGCCAGCTGGCCAGCTCATGGGCCCTCTTTGGCAGGCAAAACACCGGGGGCTCGGTCACACTTGATAACTCAGTGACCCCTGTAGTTCCACACTGGCTTCCACTACTTTACCTACCGGCAGCGCCGGCCCTGGAACCAGGTAACAGAAGCAGGACAACAACTGTAAATATGGACTGTTGGGAGGCATGTACCACTCCCATGATACTTGTCTTGTCACTGGAAGGCTAATTGTAATGTGAGTTTCTTAGTTAAAGGAACACTACAGGGACAGAAACACAAACATGTATTTCTGATCATATAGTGTTAAAAACACCATTTGACCATCCTCCCCCCAGATTCCCCATTGCTCCCCTAAATATAGTAAAATCTTACTTTTAGTCTAGCCTGTTGTTACTGGCTCCGCCCATGGTCTTGCTGCTTAGCTGACAACATCAGAAGTGTTGAACTGAGCCAATCACAATGCTTACACATAGGAAAGCATTGGAGTGGCCAAGACTGTCAAGGAGGCAGATCAGGGGCAGAGCCAGCACAAGCCAAACACAGCCCTGACATGGATTGAATCAATACATATCTATAAGGAAAGTTCAGAGTATCCATGCAGAGGGTGGAGACACTGAACGTCAGGAACACTGTGCAGCACTGCCCCATGAATCACATCTAGCAGCCATCTGAGGAGTGACCAGTGAAGGTTATCACTAGCTGTAATGTAAACACTGCATTTTCTCTGAAAAGACAGTGTTCACTGCAAAAAGCCTGAAAGAAATGATTATACTCACCAGAACAAATACAAAAGGCTGTAGTTGTTCTGATGACTATATTGTCCCTTTAAGAATAGCTGTAGCACTGTAGGAATGTGTCTATTCGTGTATCAGGAGTTGTAATGCTGATCTAGTTAAAGCATCACAGAAGACTCATCTCTTCAAATTTCTGTCTCATTTTCAGAGTCTCAGCTGATGACATTTCAAAAGGTAATTGATATCTTAATTATAATGGTACCAAATTATATAACCCAAAAGCTTACATTATATTGCTTTTAATCATGTCCTAACTTTAGATGCTTTTTTTACCCAACTTAAAGGAACACCTTTAGCACCATAACCACTGCAGATCAGTCTAGTGGTTATAGTGCCAGGCATGCCCTGGTGCCCCCCTTCCCCCATTCTTGTAGCCAAAATGTTTTTGAATGGTTTGTTGGGCACTGCCCCTGTTTCCACTACTATGTTATTATTTTTGTCAATGATTACATTTTGTTAAGCAATAAGCACTGCTATTTATGACCTTTCCATGCATTCATCAAGTTAAACTGAATCTCATTCCGGACAGCCCAGGATGAGGAAATGTTATATAACTTACCCCATACAGACTTAGCCCTCCCCCTCCCCCCCCTGCCCCTTTAAGATCCAAATATATATTTTGGGGGATAATGGTCACTTTATGAAAAGTTTGGTAAATTATATACATGTATTGTCATGCCAATATATAATACTATAATTTACACCTACAAACTGCTTATATTGCAGAATATATCGTCACACTCGCAGAACCTTCTCTGTAGCTCATACTTGGGAAAGGAAGGTTACATTTACCAGACAGCATCAGCATTTGGCATTGTAATCATAATTTCAAACATAATGTGTATTCCTTGCAGTCACTTTATTTATATAAATATACTTTTAATTGCATATTGAATTTTTACAGGTCCAGAATGTCTTTGTATGTGCAATTTTATATATTATATAAAATGACTGTTATTCATCACCTGCGTATCTTAAGTTGGACTTTGAAGGGTCATTTTTTTTTGGCACAGAAACTCAGGAAAGCAGGTTCCTACAACTGTCCCAGAGTTCCTATCTTGACATGCAAATGAGCACAGACGTCATACTGAATTTCAATGATTCCCTTAGCAATAGACAGTGTTTCAAACGCAACTTTTTTAAAAGCAATGTCTGAGCTTTCATCCAAAAAGATCAGTGACCATTTCCAATTAGAGACATGCAGGTGATGCATAACAGTATTTTTTTGTACTTATACTGTGAGAGTTGTATCGTGTTTGGGCTCATCAAAAATCATTTTGGTACTGAACTATATATATACTTTTTTTTAATATGTATATACGTACAATTTACATTTGTGTGATTGCATCCTTGGTTGTTTTTTTTAGGTTCTAGACACCCACACAACACAGAGAAACATGGAGAGCGAGAGAAAGATGTCAGTGTATAAAACAAATGTTTAATATATCGGGAAAACACAATGTTTATTATTTAATGATTTCTAATAGAGTCACGGGGCTATTTATCAAAGGAAGAATTCAAAGTAAAATTAAAGTGAATTTCAAATTTAAGGTCAAAATAGATGAAATTTAAAAAAATCTCTCGGTCAGTTTGGCTATTCCAGCCTCAACTTTAAAATTCACTTTGCTTTTACTTTGAATTCTCACTTTGGTAAGTAACCCTGTTAGTATCAAAAGCTGCTTGGATTTCTTTTCTAAAAAAACCCTATCTTTTTCTATTTCTTTAATTTGTTTTTGTTTTTTTTCGTAAATAGAAATGGTAATTTGTAAGTGAGAATTTTAACAGAAAATCGGTTTTCTGTGAGCAAGGATAAAACATGTTCATCTCGCATGTCATAAAGCTTGTTTGAAAAAGTGCTAAATATATAAATACATTTTAAAAAGCATGCATCAGAAATGATTGGTGCTGTGGCATGCAGGCAACGAGTATTAGCACAAGAGCCGCAAATAACAGATAGTAAAAAAAAGGCATTTAACCTTAAAATAACCTATTCCTTTCAGCATGTCATATAAGGCAAACTTATAAATATGTTTAGATATTTTTGGATGTGTGTGTCATCACACATAGTGATTATTATTCGGGGAAACCTACAGAATAAAGCAGATTTATTTTATATCAATATAAATGTGTTATATAGTTCAAATTTGGAATTCCTTTTTCCAAAGTTAGTTGAATTAAACTCAGACGACATTATGCACAGCTTCCAAATGTCTCTATTTAGGAGGGACAGTCCCTAATTTGGAAACAAATTCCTCTATCCTTTTTTCCATCTTAATCCCTTAAGGACGGAGCCAAATGTACACGTTGTGAACGAAACAAAATGTAAACAAAACCTGGCATTTGCGCTACATGTCTGTCCAACTGTAATTCACCTCTTTCATATTAAATGCACCCACCCTTATTATGTATCATTTTATTCAGGGGAAACAGGGCTTTCATTTAATATCAAATATTTAGCTATGAAACATAATTTAATATGAAACAAATGGGAGAAAAGATTTATTTTTATTTTTTTAGTTCCACATGACATTTTAACAGTCAATGTCATAATACTGTTTGCTTTTACTGCAATAAAATACACATATTTGCATTCAGCAAAGTCTCACGTGTAAAACAGTACCCCCTATGTACAGGTCTTATGGCGTTTTGGGAAGTTACAGGGTCAAATATAGCACGTTACATTTGAAATTGAAATTCGCCAGATTGGTTACGTTGATTTTGGGACTTTATAGTAGCCCAGGAAAGAAATTTACACCCATAATGGCATACCATTTGCAATAGTAGACAACCCAAGGTATTGCAAATGGGGTATGTCCAGTCTTTTTAGTAGCCATTTGGTCACAAACACTGGCCAAAGTTAGTGTTAGTATTTGTTTGTGTGTGAAAAATGCAAAAATGCCAATTTTGGCCAGTGTTTGTGACTAAGTGGCTACTAAATAAGACTGGACATACCCGGTTTGCAATACCTTGGGTTGTCTACTATTGCAAATGGTATGCCATCATTGGGGTAATTTTCATTCTTGGGCTACCATAGGGTCTCAAAGGCAACGTAACCAATCTGGCGAATTCTAATGTGAAAAAAATTAAACAGAAGCCTTATATTTGACGCTGTAACTTTTGAAAACACCATAAAACCTGTACATGAGGAGTACTGTTGTACTCGGGAGACTTCGCTGAACACAAATATTTGTAGTTCAAAACAGTAAAAAGTATTGCAGCAATACTCCTTCAGCAACCAGGGATTGGGAGCTGGGATGGAGAGGGGACCTGCAGTGCCAGGAAAACGGTTTGTTTTCCTGGCACTGGAGTTTCCCTTTAATGTCTCTCTTTTCTAGGAGTTCAATATAGTTTGTGTGTCTGAGTGTATAACAGAGCTTCTAATAGTCGCAGTAATGTGTCTTTAAACTATAATAAATGTGTTTAGTAATCAGTCTGTGTAAATAAGATACATTGCTCTTGTTCTAAAACACATTTTAGTTGCATAAATTGTTTTCAGTAAGTCACCTACATTTTCTCAGAACAGCCCCACCCCTGGCCACACTCACACTCACACTCATAAAATTAAAGTGTCCATCTTTATCCATTTGAAATGTTGGAGGTGTGCAAGCTTTAACTAGAAGCCTAACCTTGTTCAATAAGTCCACAACGTTTAATCAATCGTTCGAAGATTAAAGCCGTGACAAAAAGTAACAAGTGAGTATGTATTTGTCAGTGATGGCTAAATATAAGCACATATATAAACTACATTTCTATCATGTGAAGAAATCTGCTTACATGAAAAATCAACATCACTGTCTTACAATGGATATACTTTAGTAATAGAGGACGAGACTCACATGATTATTTACTACAGTTTAAAAAAGTCACAATTCAAAGTAAATTCTAAATCATTTTTTTAAATCATTATTGTCTTTGAGAATTCTTCCAGAGACTGTTACAACTCACTGTTTACCGCCCAGAAGTAACATGCCTTAAAGCAGACTATATCACGCCTGAGGATGATAAGTCGGACAAAATGCAAAATCTAAGTTCACAGGTTGCTGGTGCACTTAGAAGATGCGGTTTAAATGTTGCAACTCGTGGTTTCATTGTCCTGATATGTAATAATCAAGTTCACTTGCATGTTTTTTTAAATTTATTTTTTTGCGGACATTGCAAATATTATTCTGTTGTTCTAAATATTGCTCTTTTGTGCTAAAAAGATCTAAAAATGTATACTCTTCTATTTTGGAATAGGTAAGGAATTCAACAGAATTCCCTAAAGACTAGTACTTTGTAGCGATGCATCCTTAACCCCTTAAGGACACATGACATGTGTGACATGTCATGATTCCCTTTTATTCCAGAAGTTTGGTCCTTAAGGGGTTAAAGGGACACTATAGTCACCAATAAATTTAATAAAGCAGATTTTGTGTATAGATCATGTCTCTGAAGTTTCACTGCTCAATTATCTGCCTTTTAGGAGTTAAATTACTTTGTTCATGTTTATGCAACCCAGGTAGCACCAGACTAACACAGCCTGCATGAAAACAAAATGGTTTAATTTTCAATCAGATGTGACTTACTGTAAAAGTTTTTATCTCCTGCTCTAAAAATTGAACATTAATTACATACAGGAGGCTCCTGCAGGGTCTAGCAAGCTAATAACAGAGCAGGAGATAAGACATTCTAAATTAAACAGAATTTGCAATAAAGGAAGTGTAGACAATATATCATTCTGAATGGATAATGATAGATGGCTGTGCAAGTCACATGCATGGAGTTGTGCCTATGGCAAAGAATTGAGCAATGAGACTGAATTGGCATAATATACACAGCCAAACTGCTTCATTAAGCTGTTTGGTGCCTATAGTGTTCCTAAAATCCTTGTTGATAACTAAGATGGTAGTTTTAGACTGTGAAGTCACAATTTTACTTCTGATATTCGATCCAAGCATTTTTTTCTGAAAAACTGTCAAATACTTGTTTTACTTAATAAATATATTTGCTCCAAACTGATGCTTCCTGTCATTTACTGATTATGTAGTTTACATTATTATAATATGATATTTCCCTGTTACATAGCCCACAATACCTCCCTGGTATTCAGATCCCTAGTTGCTAGGCAATACTATGTGTCTAGTTTATTTCCTTATAGGGTAATACATATCAACTTATGTAGTAGATTTAAGGTGGTGTGCAAAATATTGATTGGCAGGAGAGGTGTGGACCCATCCATGCTGCTATCAGCATTCTGGATTCAAAAAGCTGCCACAGCCTCAGCTAACACTTCCAGAGACATAATTGTGGTACTAGAGACGTAGCAGTTCGTTTTGGGATCATGGCCCACTCCAGGGAAATGGGGAGTGTAAACTTTGAAGGCAGTGTGGTGACACTATAAGGAGACATCCCCTTCGCTGTCCTCACAGAGAAACACAAATTGGCTCCAGTCGCTAGAATGTTGAGGGACCGATCAGTCCGTCTCGCTGGGGCACAGATGGAGCCTTAGTAGTCCCACATGGAGACAAGACCTTCTCCTTAACATCAGATCAAGATCCTAACACACTTGGGGAACCCACAACTGCCAAATACTAACCCAGCAGCAGCAACTAGGATGAATACAGATTCAGCATGGGGGAATCCAAAAGTTGGCACTTCAATGATCCTATCCAAGTCACAAGCACTCACCAGAGTTAGGCAGTGACAGTATAATTCTTGCGCTAGGCTCCGTCCTTAATATCACTGTCCCTACTATCAATGTTCCTAACTATTTTTTACAGTTCTATATTCCAGTCCAGCTGAGCACACCACATTTGTGCTTTATCATATCAGACGTAATGCGCTAAAATAGCTAATACAGATTATGGTTAAATAATGTTCTGGTTGCTTTGCTTCCACTAATACTTTTATTGTCTGATATTTTATTTTATTTCTCAGTAATTGATATAAAAAAAAAAAAGTACACTCGTGTACAAAACCAATAAAATACAAATTAAAACAAAAACAATTGCATATTGGGAGTTGTAGTCTACAACAGCTTTAGATGGTTATGTAAAGGAGGACGGTCAATTCTGTGATAATTACTGAAGAAAATAAAACACTTAAAACTACCTTAGGCTTTTTTTAAAATTCTTTATTTTAAAGGTGTTATCATATAGCAATACAACACAAAATGCCACATGCACCACACCTTTTCTGCGTAATAAAAATCGTAAAAATACAACATAAAATAATATTAGAAATTCGGCATAGATAAAGGTCAGATATTGATGGGCGATGAAGTAATGAATTATACATCTCTCGCATCAGGGCTCCCACATCTATGCTACTCCTCACAGTAGTAAGCAACCTCAAACATATCAGGTAACTTTCCCGATTGGGAGGGGAATAAATTAAGCATATAGCACTAGTAATTACATTTGCCTTCGCTTATGTCTGATTACAGGGGTTATGTGTCATTGGGTTCCCAGTGGCATGTGAGCTATGCCTGTGTATGGAGCTCTGGGTTTTCTGGGTATCCCTCCCGGTACAACCACAGCCCCCCAAGGCATGGCCGTCCGCAGGTGGGGGCAAGAGGGGGCACTTGCCCCCCCCCCTGGATTTTTCAGCTTGTGCTGCTATTTTTGGTTTGTGTGAAAATACACTGCAATACCGGCGCCGGCCAGTAGGCTGTGAATGTTAAAAAGCAGGAAGCTACAGCTTATCCCTGCCTCTCGCTCATGACTGAAACCGCAGGGGAGCAGCACAGAAGCAGCCTACAGATCAGGTAAGTGAGGGATGGGGGGGCAGCCTACAGATCAGGTAAGGGAGGGATGGGGGGGCAGCCTACAGATCAGGTAAGGGAGGGATGGGGGGCACTATTACCCCCTCACCTCAGCATCATCCCCCTCACTATTACCACCCTCAGCATCACCCCCCTCACTATACCCCCTCACATCACCCCCCTCACCCCCCCTCAGCATCACCCCCTCACTATCACCCCCCTCAGCATCACCCCCCTCACTATCACCCCCCCTCCTCACTATTACCCCTCACCACCCTCAGCATCACCCCCTCACCATCACACACCACCCTCACTATCACCCCCCCTCAATCACCCCCCCTCACTATCACTCACCCCTCAGCATTACCCTCCTCAGCATCACCCCCCCCATCACCCCCTCCCTCAGCATCACCCCCCCTCAGCATCACCACCCCTCACTATCACCACCCTCAGCATCCCCCCCTCACTCACCACCCTCAGCATCCCCCCCTCACTATCACCCCCCCTCACCACCCACAGCATTACCCCCATCACCCCCTCCCTCAGCAGCATTACCCCCTCTGTCACCATTACCCCCTGTTACGGTACCCTCAGCAATAAATGTACAAACCGCCGTTTAGTGAATGCTCCCCTTTCGCAATAGCATAGGCTGCATGCGTATCTAGTACAATCATGCGAACCGCAAGCAAGGGAACACTGCAAACTTACGAACGGGATCCGTACGGGCACTTCACTCCACGAGCTCCAAACTCTCGAATCGCCAAAGGTAGCCGAACGCATATATCTCCCAAGCGGCTAATAATTCCATCCAGCAGTCTCTAGTCGTCGGTAATAAATCCCCCCAATAACGAGACCAAGCTCCGCATTGAGGGTAAAACATGAACTGGCTTTACTGTGGGCTACCTGCCCGTATTTATGCAGGTCTCCCACTTGGTGGACACTCCCCTAGGGGACCAAATGGGAGACTGTAACAATAGACAGACATATGGCAGGTTAGGACCCACAGACACAGAATACTCCCAGCATGCATTAGTATTTCCTCCCCTCTGCCCTGGAGATAATTGAAAAGTAATTTAATTATCTCCAGGACAGAGGCAAATCACCATCTTAAATGCAACATAGCAAAACATATAAAAATACATAACTTTACAATTGTCGAATGTTACCCATTCGTATCACATATCCCCAGATAGCCTGGATCTGAGTGCATATTATTGGCGAATAGCGCTCAGATCACATACACATAGTTCAATCGCCATGGAGTCAAAGTCTATTACAGTCTTTCGGTATGCGATTGACTCCATGGGAAGGCTATCTGGGGTAAGTCCATTCGTGCCTTTAAACCTCCCAAACGGCCGGTGTTCATACACTTCTGTCGATTGAGAAGGGAGGTCGGCGGCTTCAGCGGTGTTCGGCTGAAAAAGTGTACGTTTTCAGTTCCATGAAATCAATGCCGAACACCGCTGGTCTTTCGCATGGTTTAAAATGGCCACCGCCTCGTGGTCGACATACGAACGACAACCACCCTGTATTCGGTTTAATTGAGAAGTGTCTGCGGTTAACCGCAACGTTCTAATTGGGATCAAGAGGTTAACCAGCAGCACACTTCTCTTCTGGGTGGCTGTCAGTTCAGTAGTTTTGTTCGGCGGAAAAGTCAATTCACGGAATAGGGGCATACGAACGGTAATTTCACGAAAATGCAAAACAGACGAATCCAGCAATCTCAGTCTATACAGATGGATCTGTCACACCCTCTCCCTCACCATCACTCCCCCCTCAGCATCACCCCCTCTCACCATCACCCGCCTCACCCTCTCACCCTCTCACCATCAACCGCCTCTTTAAGCAGCTACCCCATACACATAGGGTACCAGACAAAAACGCAAACATGCTCAGAGACATACATTCACACACACACACACACACACACACACACAAACACACACATGGATACTCTCTGTCAGACACACTCTCAGGCACATACACAGGTAAACTGTGCATCAATGTGTATATGTGACAGTGTGCATATATTGCAACTCTATTTTTTTCACTTTTTTCTTAGTAGGGCCTCATGTATGAGTTTCGCCTAAGGCCTCATAAAGTCTAGAGCCGCCTCTGCAGAAGGAGCCTGAGAAGAAAAACAAAACTGTGTCAAATGAAGGAGAAGAAAATGAGATTGGAGCACTTCATTCTGGACACCACATTATAAGGCTTTGGTCCTGGGCCTGGCAGGGAAACTTTGGACCTTCTCATCTCCCCAGGGAAAAAAAAATATCAGTGTTAATGTGTTCACTTTAATTTACTGAGTGTCAGGAAACACAGAGCGCCGCTGGGTAGGGGTGCCGCTGATTGGCTAGAGGGTCAGCTGGCACTCTAAGCCAATCAGTAGCTCCCCATTCATGAAAACATAAAACATTTCTATGAATCAGGAACTAGCGATTGGCTTATAGCGTCAGCTGACCACTCTAGCCAATCAGCGGCACCCATGCATGTCGTCAATCTGCACTTCCTGACACTCCGTTTAAGAAGCTGAATACCACCGAGTGACCTGGAGATCTGGAGCTGGAGGAAGCTTTTGGGGGTAAACCATTTGAGAGTGGTTTCACCCTTTAAAGGAAAGAGCGCCCAGGGGCCTCCTTGCATCATAGCATTTTCATTTAGTTGAAGTTGTTATGGTGACCAGAATGTTCCTTTAATTTGATTAAAGGAACACTATAGTGTCAGGAATGCAAACATGTATTCCTGACACCATAGTTGTAAAAAAGCTATTCACCCTGGCTTTATGTGAAAATGACTATGCTCCTTCCCTTTCATGACACTGTCAAAAAGGGGCCAAGCATGGATGTCATTACAATTATGCCCCCCTCCCCAGGAAAAATTCCTGCGTACGCCCATGCCCCAAGGGCCTCTTCCTGAAATAGTATGGGGCTGTAAATAAAGCTGCGTTGGGCTAATCATAAATCAGGTACGTGTGTCCCTGTGGAGGTCACACATTGGACTGGCAGGTAATTGAACAAGATAGAACAGAAAGGGTTAAACTAAAAGATAGACCAAATTATAACCTAAAAACCCTGGCTGCCTATGGCAAGTCAAAATTTAAATGTGCGCTATATAGAAACCCCAAGTTAAGTAACATGGGTTGCACTCTGCAGGGTGAGACAGTCTAAGGAGGGTCTTGGGCACTGCCCTGGGATGATCTTCGCAGTCCTGGGGCTGGAACAGTTGGATCCGCTGCCGGTCCCTGTGGTTGCAGCGTCGCAGGAGGTAGTTTCAGTGCATTGAAAAGCTTTGCTAGGTCTTGCCCTGCAGACACAACCAGCACTAAATTGCCGTGGGGCACCACGTTACAGATGCTCCCCATTGGTACCTGATGCCATGTTTTCTCAGGATCCTGGTAATCAACAGAAATCTTCGCCATTCCACTAACACTGCAAATGGAAAGTAATCAAAGATTTTAATCTGGCTGTTCTCTACAGTACCAGTGGGGTGGTTTCTGGAACATGTCAGTAGTGATGTTTTCATCGATATGTCCCGTGTGACCACTATGGTGTCTCGTGGTGCATCAGCAGGAGCAGTGGGGGCTTTCTGGACTCTGATTTCTGATACCATTGGCATCGCTCCACTGTCTACCACACCCAGTGCCTCAGCCACCTAATTAGCAAAGTCCATCAGAGCCTCTGGGTTCACAGATTCCAGCACTCCACGGAGCCTTATGTTCCTCCTGTGGATGCAACTGTTCTGGTAAGTTGCTGGACATGATATCCTTTTGATTTTGTGTCTCGGCCAGCCGGCCTTCTCGCTTCCCCTCTCTGGATTCCACTTCCCCTATTCGGTAAATCAGGATGCTGATTTCAAACTGTACCCCAGCAAGGTCTGCCTTTCATATAGCATGAAGGTCCAGAAGCAGTTTTTTGATGTCCCCTTTAGTAGATGGGGACATGTCAGCATCCAAGTCTGTTCTCTGGTGCACACTGCTGGGTGCCTGTGAGGCCACTGATCCGTCTTCTCCTTCTGAGTCATCGAATGTGCTTGAACCTCGTGGTCTACCTGCGGCTATCTTGGACTGGGCCTGAGGTTGCGGTCTGTTAAAGGACCTGCGGATATCTGGCTGGTAGGAGCCCTCAAAGTGGGCTAGTTTTCTATGTTTGGGGGTTTAAAATGCAATATGTCTTTATTTTGCACTGTTTTCATGGCGTTATGGCTAGTTTGCAGTCTGTGGAGCTGGAGCTCTTCACAGACACGTCTGGTCGGTTGCTCAGCTGGCCACGCCCCCCCTTCCTTAAGCTTGTTTTAACACTTTTTAATGTGATTATCAATATTTTTATTTATTTCAAAGGAACACCTCCCATCCCTATAACAAGTCCAGCTCATTGAAAGAGTCCATATAATATCACTCAATGGGCAGTCATGCAACAACAAAATATACTCACTCATTATCCAAACTGTTTTCAAAGATGGCAGAGAATGATACTGACAATAGACTAAAACTAAACTAAATCAAGTCAACACAGGGCTGCAACCACAGTGAAATGTAAGAGTAACAGAAAGGAGCAGTCACTTGCTATAGCTGGATCAATGTTCTAGAACACAGTAGCCAATGAGAATCAGACCTCATAATAAATAAACATAGGGAACAAATAGGTAGCGCGGTAGATATTGCAATAGACATTTATAATACAAATTGAATTGAAGGCAAAGTAAAAATCTTGCCACATCAAACCACAATATTCAGATAGATATAGTCATTTGGATGATAGCCTTACATATGTTATGGGTACTCAACATTCGATCACAGGTCCATATAATTACTCTTTCTAAGCATGTATAAATGCAAATAAGTAATAAAAGAATTACAGCAAAATGTATTCTTGTGTGTTAGAAACTCTACATACCAAATACATCATAATATATTAAATGCATAATACATAATAAAATATTAAATGCACATTGTATAATAACAAAGTCATTAGTTCTGAGCTTTTTGGTTGTAGATCTCAAAGCCAGTTGCAGGAATACAGTAAACCCTTGCAAAACAATTAATTCCGGGGAGGACTGGAGGTGGGGACATGCTCCTACAATGTTTGTGTTATCACATATGCTAACTAGAAAAGCTACAATTTCTGGGGAAATTGTGTGAAGTGTTCTTGCCTCCACCAGTAGTCTACAACTGGAGTGGGCAGAGTAACTGTTATTATTTATTTATATAGCAAATTTAATTGCAATGTTGTTGCCCAAAGTGCTTCACAGTTACATAAAACCATACATTTATAAAAACATTAGCAGGTGTACAAAAGGCCCTGTCTATGACATCACTTGCTGCTCCAGCCTGGCACAGGTCAGAGTATTTTGGCGGTTGCCATCTTCAAATGGTCGTATTTTAAAAACTATAAATCCTACAGCGAAGAGCTTTATATTGTGAGAATCACAAGACCCAGACCTACATAGTGTGATGATGCATAGTATGTCTCTGAAATATAAAAAATGAAAGCACAGTCACAGTTTAGAAATTGACCTTCAAATTTGAGTTGGCTAGAGTGGAGTTTCAACGAATGTCAATGGACGGCGTGAGTTGCAAACAAATGGTCATATTGTGAAAACTATCAGGACTATTGCTTATCCGTGGACATGTTTAATGGCAGCAGGGATAGCTGAACATTTTGATATAAGATTTGTGTAGGTGGGCTTGAAAATGAGGGAGTTCTGGCAGTTTAGAAATCATGTCCTGATTCTTCTGCTTTTGCCAGCTCCCACTCCAGTTTTGAACATTTTGCCATTCATTCCTATGGGACCAATTTCGCCACAAGAAAGACGATATTCCGTGAACCATTCAGTGAAACGTTCCACAGTAATAGCAATCCAATTTGGAACAATCTGCACGTTTCGGTATATATCTTTCTATGTAGTGTAAAAACTGTGGGAGGAGTTAGGGTGGTAAATTTGGCAATAATAATAATAATATATATGTGAGATAACATTAAGTGGTCTTGCTATGCAAGAACACTTAATAAGACAATAAAATAAAACATAGAACTGGGGAGACTGGAACTATTATTCCAGAAGCAAGATAGACCAAATTGTCAAATCTATAAAGTGACAGAAAAGGGGAGACAAGGCACAGGTTGAATATCCAAAATATGTTGGATTGGGATATACAGAAATCAGGTGATGAAATAGAAGGATTAAAGGAATGATGGTGCAGGTCATTGGACTTTGGCTACTAAAGTAGCAGAATATCTGAATAATGAGTGTGCATTGCTTTTTATAAGGAGGGTCAGGACAATGATGCACATATGTTGTTGAGAATGGCCACATACCTTAGCCAAGGCATAGGCAACCTTCGGCACTCAAGAAGTTTTTAACTACACCTTCAATAATGCTTTGCCAGCATTATGGGTGTAAGAGCATTATAGGGGATGTAGTCCACAACATCTGGAGTGCCGAGGGTTGCCTACCCCTACCCTAGCCTATGCAGATGAAGCACCCACAATATCAATTAGTGATGCCAGATGCACTTGTATCATTGTAAGGTGCAGATGTGATGTCTGAATACCAACTGTTGCTTAGCATTAAAAAAAGTAAAAAAACGAAATAATTTTTAAAGGATTCACAAAGGCTTGGTTGTCCGTTAGCCTACGTGGCTCAAATGGTAAAGTGCTGAGCTGAACAACTGAATGATTGACCAAGTTCTTTGCCAACAGTCTGGGCTCCATTTTGGCAGTGATACTTTACTTGATGGGCCGTTGGACATTACTGAGAGTAAGTGTAAAAGATTTAACCATTGAAATTGAATTAAAGATAATCTCAGTCACTGCCTCCCTCCTTGAAAATAAATATTATATCTAGGACTATCAAGGCCCTTGTTTAGATATGCTCTCTACAGTAGAAATACTGAGTCAATTAATTCTTAATCGCTTGTTTATCCTATGTTCCTTTATATATCCAGCATATAGCTTGCTTCATTATAATGTTGACGTGAAAATTTGAGATTTTACTACAATTATACATCTTCTTTTCTATAATCAGAGAGGTTGGAAAAAATGCAATGTAAACGCTATGCAAAAAGCTACATTTTGCAATATAAGGGGGAGATTTACCACAGCAAAACAGATGCTATTTTGAATTGCAAGGTGCTAAATGCTCAAAGACATAACATGGTGACTGCTGTTTAGTTAGTTCTTTGCCCCAGAATAGGACCTGGTTTAGATAAATCTCACCTCAAATATATAATATGGTTTAAATCAGTTCCTATTTACGTGCGGTATTTGATGCATATAATGCATTTAAAGGTTCTTTATAGTAAACACTCTATGGAACACACAAATTCTCAGACACTACCGTTTTGTGTTCCCCCCTCATTGGTAGCTATTTAAAGAAGCAAGCTTGAGAGCATCTAAGAGTGTCAAAATATTGGGCTGGCTTGAAATCTCCCCTGTTTCAGCAGGTTTTGCACATGCCTGGCATTCTTAAATTGAAATTTCTTAAATTGCCCTATCAGGCAGCATAGCTAGCTGAGTGGAGAAATGCTTTTGGCCTCATTATTCAGTGGCCATCATTGGCGCATAGCAGCAGGGGGTGGGGTTACAGTACCCATAAGAAAGAGAAACAAGACTCCATATTAGAAGCAGCACAGGGAGAGCACAGCAATAGTAGCTTTTGTCCCCTACCTAATTTAAGTGTGTAATATTATCTTATAGTCTCTCCCAATAGCCCCATGCACTGCTTAAGTCCTGAATAAGCAAGGGAATTTACTTGAATACATAATTAATATATAAAGCCAGGGAAGCCCAGGGAGGACAAGGGGGGAGGGACATATCTGACACAAGAGCACTGTGCTGACTGTCACTTATAGTTTTAATAACTCATACTGCATATACCCACCATCGTCTTTAAAGTGCTCAGTCACTCTACAGCTGAGACCTGAGACACTCATGCTGTGGCTCGCTGAAAAGTTGTGAAACTTCAAACTGCAGGACTGGGGCTGTGACTCTGAGGACTGGGCTGATTCTGATTTCAATCTGTTTTAATCTGTAATTATTGTTCCTTCTGTTAACCATGTCAGCTACTTCTTGGCTCCACATAGCCACTGCATATTAATTATATTGCCCAGCTGCAAAGGTAATAAGGAGTCTACCAGTATCCGGCTGCTTTAACCATGTGTACGCAGTGTGTTGAGAACTAATAAGCAGCTGACATGTTTGGAGCCTATCAGTATCTTGATGTTTTAACCATATTTTAACCAGCGTGCTGAGAGTTAATGGAGTAGCTGACATGTTATATAACAGCAACAATATTTTATATAACAGCAACAATATTTAATAGAAAGCTATGTGATCATAGCAGGAGAACTACTGAAAATGAGATCATGCAATGGAGAGCTAACAGAGGGCAAGGAAGATAGACAGAGAGAGAGAGAGTTGGAGCATTATATAGAGACACGTACTGTGTGTGTATCTCTGCATAGCAGCTCTGTGTAATCCATCACAGTGATCCTGACTGTGTGGGGTAGTTATATTATCTCCTTATTGTATCCAGCACTGAGTGTTATTTTTTCTGTATTTTGCTGTATATTAGCATCCCTTTTATTATGATCAGCTCTCTGTATTGAATGACTATCTCTGTACTGTACAGAGAGGAGGAAAATTCTGGGTGAGGAATCTGGCGTTCCAGCATCTTAAAACTTCACCAGCCGTGACTGTGCATCACAATAGAATGATGCAGTTGTTAAACATTTGAAACAGCAAATATTTAAAACTCAATTTATTGCAAACAATGCTTAAAATAATTATGTATCTCTATATATAGTAGTTAAAGGGTGTGGTGATCCTCTGATGTTCATTTTTAATTCAACTAATATAACTATACTTGCTTCTCCTCTAAGCTTTTATAATAACCCATAAATTACATTTTCTGCCAAACACTCATTTTTAAGGAGGATACAAATCAATTTGAATGGGAGTCTGATGCCTATAAATTACTTATAAAATGACCTCATAACATCTAACTTGCATCTCATATAAGGCGGACAAAGTCAAGGAGAACACTAGTTCAGCTGAAGAACAATAAGCATATCCATTCTACGTGTATACAAAATAAGTCGTGTGATCAACATGAGCCACAGAAGCAATCACTCATCCTGCGGATCTGTCTTGGGAGCTCATCATTCTGGGGGACATTACTCTTCCAGCTACATCTCTTCAGTTCATCATGGAAGCTCTAATAAATGCCATAACAAGAGTCAAAGTGGTCACTATAAAGCTTCCAGCCATCATGGAGCAAGCAAGAAGCTGTCCAGCCATTCTTCTATTGGTCTTGAACATGGAAGTGGAAGTGTTGGTAATCTTAGATCTCATCACAAGAGTTCTAGCAGTCATAGTCATGGTCTACTTAGTATCAATGAGAAAGAAACAATGCAGTTTCTAAATGGACGTCTTGCATCTTATCTGGAGAAGGTTCATTCACTAGAACAGGAGAATTCTCAACTGGAGAGGAAGATATGCGAATGGTATGCAAATAACGCCCCCAGCTCCCTGCCAGACTCCAGTCAGTACTTCAGGACTATCCACGAGCTTCAGAACCAGGTGAAAAAATATATACAAATGTAACTCATTCAGGCATTATACCATGAACAGTTATCTTGAAGATGGCTATTCATGAGATGATACTGCAGTATTGAAGCAAAGTCAAAAATTAACATTCTCTATCTCAATTTATGCAAACGTATTCTAATGTTCAAAGATTTCAGCTCATATAAAATGAAATATTGTATTACCAGAGAAAAATAAATATAGTCAACGTCTAGAGTTGTAAACTTGAAAAAAAAATTTTTTTGTGAAGTCACAGTTACATTAAAGCACTATTTATACTTTTTGTTGAGAATAATAGCATCGTATGTAATTTGTTTTTCTAACCAATAATATGTAAAAAAAAAAAAAAAGTGCCAGCAAATTCTGCAGTGCTGAACAATGGGTGGACTATTAAACAAGTATTTGCAACAAGAGGAGTTGGTCGCACAGGAACAGAGGGTGTTGAGGGCCCTTCTCAAACAAGCTTACATTCTAGAGAGAGTGGGCTAAAGTGGCACAAGAGGTAAGGGTATAATATATTTAATTCATGGGAAAAAGTAGGTTGCTAGAATAGTTTACAGTGAAGGGTTAGTTTTTTTGATCACATGGAGAAGAAGCAGGGTTACCAAGTTGCGGGAAAGGAACCTATTAACATTTTAATTTATATGCTTTCCTAGAGAAGTATGTTTTCAATTATTTTTTGAAGTAACGGAGACTGGTTGAGAGTCTAATGGAGAAGGGAAGGGAGTTCCATAGGAATGGCATGGCCCTAGAGAGGTCTTGAAGTTGGGCATCAGAGGTGCGAGTAAGAACAGAGGATTGACCATGAGGGACATTTATTAATTCTGGGGCAAAGTTCTAAACAAGGAGCAATCGCCACAGAAACCAATGGAATATCTTCGAGTACTTTGTACCAAGTATTTCATCTGTTTTACCTTGATAAATCTCCTTCTTTGTATTTTGTATTTAGAGCTGAATTGAGTTATTTTTCCTTCACAGGTTGCTTCTGCCTCAGTGGACAATGCAAGAATTGCCTTACAGATAGATAATGGCCAACAAGCTGCAGATGACTTTAGAAGCAAGTAAGTTTTTAGAACAATTTGTATGGAATAAAACAGAACATTTCACTATATTTAATTCCCACTAGCATTGAAGTGAAAAGTGTTTTAAGATGGGCGTTAATTTACAGTGTATAAATTAATAACTGATAACCAAAAATGTTTCCTGCACATCACATTGTCCCACATTCCTCAGTTAAATACCAGAGGTTTTTAGTACCACTTTAACGACGATTAAAGTGTAAGCTCATCTGCCGACAATCAGGCAAGCCTCTTTGGTTAGTCCAACACTAGCAATTCTCCATGCAGCTTTTAGCTAAAGGGCTTAATATCTAATTAGAAAGAAAAGGGTATTCTTATGAATCTCTACAAACTAAGTAATAATTAACAGAGAATATATAGAGTTGGCATTTAATTTATTAACCAATAAGTCCACTGAATGGTTTAGAAGGTTTTATTCATGTTTCCATGGTGTTCTCAACTTAGGTATGAGATGGAGAAAAACTTAAGGTCCAATGTAGAGGCTGACATTGGAGCTCTGCACAAAGCCCTAGGACAGCTTAACAATGAACTTCAAGACTTAGCAATCCAAGTTCAATGCCTCCAGCAAGAAATTCTCCAGTTGAAGAACAACCACACAGAGGTAATATTGATGGTGAATTCGTTGTGATGTGGGTATAAGTCCCATAATATTACAGGGTAACATACGTTGTTATATGTTCTAATAGTATTCAACAACAAATCATATCATAGAGCTATTACATTATGTAATTATATGGAATCAATGATGCCAAGATATCGGTAAATTTAATAATTTTATTAACGCACTTAGCACATTTAGTCACACAAGTGTGTCTAAAGGCTAATAACATAAATTGTAAAATAAATGTTTGCTTGATGCCTGGAATACCCTTGTAGTAAAGGGAGCAATGACAAACTCTATAAACATTCCAGTAATATTCCAAATATGTTTCACATATGTCACGTGTGGAACATAAGTCTGAGGTTTCATAATGGGTTGATGTCGGGCACTAGTTGGATATTATCTACAATCTACAATCATAACTGCTTTATCTATGCTATTTAATACAAGTAAAATTGATCCTTAGAAATGGGGTTACATGTAATATTAGGTGTCCTTTTATATGTAAAATTTAATTTGCATGAATAAACCTAACGCCCGTCTAGGGCCTAGGCCCCGGCAATGGCTAGTGGATAGCCTCTATCGGTGCTGACCATGTTAGAAACTCCATCAAACCCTCACAGCAGATAGTACTCTTAGTCATCAACTGAGCACAATTAGACTGTATGAGAGCTCCTTTAGTGGTCTGCAAAAAACACACACACACTCAGAAACAACACAACACTTAGCCACACTCTGACTCCTCTACAGACGCACAATACTCCTCCACACACAAAATTCAGCATACCACACACAACACTCAACCAGCACACAGAAACACATTTAGCCTCCCCCCACATACAGCTCTAAGTTTACTCTGCACACACAACACTCCACTATACACAATCTCAAACACAACACTCAGCCTTCTAGAAGGAGGACTCACTATAGCATTTTGTCTTGAGTCCTGGGTAACCTTAAAACTTTATAAAAACCCATTGTATCTGGGTGGATATTTTACTATTTTACACCAACACACTTGGATAGTAGGGAGGGGGTGGGATGGTAAATCACATCACAGTGAGTTTTTCTGCTGATTGATCTGTTTTTAGAACTTTATACTCTATAGATAGCCTTTAATATATTTTCCTATCACATCTGACCATGATTATTTTTCACCCAAACATAAAGGAAGTGAATGGGCTGCGTGCTCAGCTGGGAGCCAGAGTCAATGTAGAAATGAATGCTGCTCCATCCATCGATCTGAACAGCGTTTTATCTGAGGTCAGAGAGGAATACGAAAACCTAATGGAGAGGAACCTCCGGGAAGTCGAGGGCATGTTCTTGGAAAGGGTAATGCAAATTATTTAATTGTCTCACACTTCTATACCCATTCTACGTAATTAAAATCTGCTCACAACCATTTTTGCTTTGTGTTACTGGAATATAAAGTTAGTTATTCACTGAACTCAAAATATCATCAACTTAAATCTAAAAAAAGTAAGTAAAAATAGCTGATTTGGAAAAATTCCTGAACTTGGTAATTTCACAGTTTGCCTATTTTTGACATTAGGATTCAATTTCACTAAAATTCGAAGTTTAAAGAATTATTCACTAACGTGAGAATTCAAAGTAAATTCAAAGTGAATTTCAAATATAAGGTCAAAATAGCTAAAGTCTTCTAAGTCAGCTACGCTTTTAGTTTAGCTACTCTTTACCTAAATTTTAAATTCACTTTGACTCTCACTACAGTAAATAACCCTCATAGGGAACCCTGTGAATTTATATCCAAGTTTGTTCCTGAATTAAATTACACATTTCTAGATTCCAAAACACTATTGATCATAATCATGGTGCCTCACATGCTCTACTTTGCTAAAAAGACAAAAAAAAAATAAGCATACAAAGTTTTAAAAATGTGACTATTACTCAAAGGATTCCAGATCCGTTTTAACCATAAGAAAAGTGCAAATCACATCTTTTAATGTTCCTTATATTATGGGGTGGACATAATTTGGAGCTATATAAGTTACTCAAATAAAGAGAACTGAAGAACTTCCATTGGATGTTTTTTTCTCCTTGCAGAGTGCAGAATTGGACCGCGAGGTATCTTCTGGATCTGAACAAATGCAGTCAGTAAATAATGAACTTATTGATCTCAAACACTCTGTACAGACCCTGGAGATTGAGTTGCAAAGCCAATTAAGTTTGGTAAGTAAGCTTTAATATACAGCACATGTGCAAAGACAGACAAATCGTCAGACTGTTAGACCTACAGACAGTTAGATAAAAAATTTCTACACCTAGCAATACCATTAGCCTTAAAATTGCCATCAAATTATTTTGCTTCTTAATATTTCAGGAATTATGGCTGCACAAAATGACAGTATGATTTATTTGTGGCTATAGTTAATCAACATGTTTTCTCCATGTGTTCTGCAAACTCTGCACTTACACTTAGAAAAAAAACTACGCTGAAAGTGGTGTAGTACCTCTGTAGTCAGTCTGTGATTTGTATTAGCAAATATAACAGAATTTTTTATTGTTTTACTTTTTATTGCAACTCCTTTTGCAAGATACATCTGGCAGATAGTAAATTGATAGTAAATGGAAATGTGTTCCATTATCACACAACCTTTAAAGTGAAAAAGTGAAAACAAATGAATAATAGTCTCCTGTAGCTCCTCTGCCAAATGTAAATTTAATGAGACACTCTATTCACCAGAAGCCCTACAGCTTAATGTAGTTGTTCTGGAGTCTATAGCCTGTCCCTGTATTCTTTTCAATGTAAACACTGCCTTTTCAGAGAAACTTGCTGCTTAGTAACACCTCTAGTGGAAGTCACTCAGGCAGCCACTAAAGATGCTTCCTAATTCAGTTCTGCATTATGTGCAGCACCTACAGAAATCCTATGATATTATGAAATGTGTGGCTGTTCTCTGTCACAATGTGATTATGATAAATCACAAAGTATACAATTTCAGGCAAAAGATAATTTCCTTTGTTTTGTTTTTGTTTCCATCATTTTAGAAATCTGCTTTGGAAGGCACTCTAGCCGAGACAGAGGCCAATTTTAGATCCCAACTTTCCCAGTTACAGTGCATCATTGATAATGTAGAATCTCAGCTATCACAAATCCGGTCTGACCTTGAACAACAGAACCACAAGTACCAGCTCCTCATGGACCAGAAGACCCATCTTGAGAGGGAAATCAGTACTTACAGACATTTGATGGATGGACATGATATTCAGTATGTAATAAAGACGTTGCTATTTTCATTTTTTAAGTTTCAGAATGAATAATATGAGAAGGGAATATAAATACATGCTGAAGGGGATATATAACAAACATTTTTAATAAATGCTCTTATACACACAATTGTTCGATAAAATGTAAATCTTTGTTGACTAATATAATACACATGAAACAAAATTAATCTAATCTCAGCCTTTCCCATGTCTCCTTGCAGTTTCTCAGGTCACAGTTCTTCAGGAGGTAAGTAATGAGCATTATTAAAAGTCTTACATATGACATTAATTGTAATTATTATATTTCTTAGTTATGGATGGTAACTACTCGTGATATCCGTTAAAAAACACATCTCTGTTATTTCTAATTACAATAACATTTAAAGGGAAAATGTATAATTTCAAAACATGTTAGATTTAAGGAACAATTACCATGGAAACCACTAAAACGTGTCTTAACATTTACCACCTTGAAACAAAATAGCACCTGTTTAGTCTTGATAAAACTCCCTTAATGTCTTTAGCTATACAACACAGTTTTTAGATTGAAATCAATCATTATGATATACATAGCCATTATAATATTTAATAATATTGTTTAGGATTCTAAAAAGAAAATAGATACATGATTAATAAATAAAATTTTTCAGAATGTTAAAAACTGTAATAAAAGTCAATTAACTAATTCTTATAGCTCCACCTATTGTGTATTTGTAATTGGGTGAGGTGTACAATTCTCTGCAGAGTCTTAGTTGATGTGCTCCATTTCAATTGCATTGATTCAGACATTCTCAAGTGTCAATATAATGATGAAGCTATATTTGTATAGTTCTAAACTTAACATTGATGTCTCATTTGTTTAAGGATTTCATCACAGCAAGTGCTAGAAGAAGTCCAGAAAGACATCAGTCTTTGAAACACGTGGATCTCTAGAGTAAAGAAAGAAATATTATATTGTCTACTTTTTCTGAATCTGGGTGTTGTGTTTCTATTACCTTTTTTTTTTATTTTGTTTTCTGTAGAGTGATTAAAGCAAGTGAAAAGTCCTATACAAAATATATCCACTGCAAGAGAAATTTGATCTTAAATATAACATGCACAGAACAAACATCGTGTAAATGACTTTAAACCTCTTCATAGTGGAATTGATTTAAAATAAAAATTGGTTCTGCATAATGAATATAATATATGATCAACCACTCAAAAAATAAACATAGAGCTAGAGAGATAGATAGACAGACAGACAGACAGACAGATAGATAGATAGATAGATAGATAGACAGACAGACAGACAGACAGATAGATAGATAGATAGATAGATAGATAGATAGATAGATAGATTGATTTAAAAAAATGACTTTTCTATTCCCATGTTGGAAATATTTGGTAAATGTTTACTCATTTATAATTAAGTTAACTAATTATTCAATTGGAAGATGTGCATATTGATTGGATTTTTTTTTTTTGAAGAAACTTTTGGACTGTATTGTCAAAACTCTTTCTGACTGTGGCTGTTTTTCTAACTGTCCTTTAATCAGGATTTTGTAAATAAACTTTATCTGTCTCATGCAAACTGCACGTTTATGTGGATGTTTTTTATAAGGTAACATAATGGAAAAAGTAAGCGTATATGATGCCATCCTATCTTGGTTTTACTTGTATGATTTTAAAGGAACATTATACAGTCAGGAACACAAACGTCCATGCCTGACCCTATAAGGTTAAAACACTATTTAGGGTGCTGGACTGACCCAGGAAGCACCTCTAGTAGCCGTCTGAGGAGTGGCCACTGGGGGTATCCCTAGGCTGTAATGTAAACACTGCCTTTGCTCTGAAATTCTGTGTTTACAGCAACAAGCCTGCAGGGACTGACTATACTCACCTGAACAAATATAATAAGCTGCTGTTGTTGTGGTGACCATAGTGTCCCTTTAACCATTAATATCTATTGATGGAAACTGATACGTCTTGAATACTCAGAATAATTCATGTGAAACAACGAGATGAGAACATTTAAGGTCTGGATTTAGTCAATACACTTTGCAAATGATTTCATATTTTGGATTAATGTAAAAATTTAAAAAAATATTACAATATTTAAATATTTTCCAAAATATCAAATTGTTCTCTAAGTTCATTCAAAAATATTAAATAAGCTAAAAAGTCTAGAAATGAAAAATGTGCAAACAAAGCTTGCAAAGACAAGATGACAATTTGTATAATTTATAAAATATTTAACTCTGAAATTAGAGAATTATTGCAAAAGTTTAAATGCAAGAATAGTCAGTTTTGTAACATCAATGCAAAGATGCTGATATTTAAAAGACAGCAGTTCAATTGTAAATCTTCAGAATTGCCACTGAGTAATGTTTTGCCAAAGAGCAAATATCTCAGTGCTACAGGAAAGATAACGTATGAGTGACGCATAATTGGCCAACAAGAAAAAAATTTTTAATAATGCATAGGCAATCTTTATTAATAGAATATAATTTGGTTCATTTTCTCAAGATAGAATGTATGAATGTTGAGACATGAGAAAATTATCAATTGACCGTAAAAAAAACCATTGATCAATTCTGTTCTCAAAACATTTTCCTTTGTGAGAGAAGGATGAAAAGGATTAGGAATCAATAACTTTAAATTGCATGATTGTGATCTGATTTCAAGAGAAAATATGTATTTTCAAGATATTTATGGTGTGGCGAACTGCCTAGTACCCTGACTGGGTACCTCCGCCAATTCATGTTTCCTAGTAATCACCGAGTACCATAAGCACTGCCCCAGGATACCATAAGCACGTCCAGCTCCTAGCCACCGCAGCTTGGCTGGGGTCTCGCTATCTCCGGCCACCCTGGACCCAAGTCCTGGATACAGCTCCCGGTGGGTAGACCTGTCCTCCAGAGAGTTTAGCAGGTATAGCAAGTATAGCTGTTCCCCCACACACGAGCCGAGGATTAATGCTAGGAAGTAGTCTGTTTAATGCAGGCAAATATTCACAATTTAAACACACAGCCTCATTTACATACAATAGGGTACATAGAGCATTATAGTACAAGGAAGGGTGGGGTCAGACAATAACAAGGGCTGATGGAAGATTGAAGAGGGACAAAGCAGCTACTTTAAACTGGTCTGGTAGTGTCTCTAGGACAATGCCCTGCTAGGGAAATAATAAGACAGGAATAAGGGGGAGGATGAGAGGCACATACAAGCAATACATTCAACATACTCCTCCCCTGTGCCTGAAGGATAATTGAGTCAAGAACTGTACAAACTCAATTATCTCCAGGTACAGAAAAACACACAATTTCACAACACCCCAAAAGTACCCTGAAAATCCATGGAAACCCCTTAAGTGCCATCCCCTGATAGACCTGATCTGAGTGACAAAAATCACTCCGATTGGTGCAGTGGTTAGGATTTTCTATGGAAGTCAACTTTTAACATGTTTCTTTTGCCCATAGTCTTTGGGCAGGAGGCTAGCCAGCAGGCCCCTTCAGGAACACGTGACAGAGGCATCTTTTCCAAATATGGTATTATATATTTACAAGAACTATATTCAGAGTCAAATCAGTCAAAACAGTCATTAGACTGAACTCATAGATTGTAACCTAATTTATGCTGGTCCTTCTTAACTTCTCAAACATCCCCATTCAAAAATTGTAAAACGTTGTGAATGTGTTGTAACTGATCCCCTATACTACGACTGAGTATATCTGTTGAAGAGTCTCCCAGGTCCCGAAGTGAAGCAGTGATTATAACTCTGTGTTACCCAAACATCAGCCAAGACTTGATGAAGGGTACAAATTAACTTCTTTATTATGGCCAAGTTGCCTGCTTATATACACAACACCCAGCAGGGGGTCTCCAAACAATACAATGCAAGCCCCTCCCAAAGATCGCTGTACCTAGGACATAATTGCATTAAAGACAGTTAAGCTAATTATCTCCCAGGAACCGAGAGGCAAACAGAAAAACAGAAAAATACCCCAGACATCATACAAATATACAATAGCCCCACTAATAACATCATAAAAATATAAAACATATAAAAAAAAACAAAAAAATTTACAATAACCCCAAATAGCACTGATCTGAATGACCTAGTTCTCCAAATAGCGCTCAGATCCATGCAGTGTAGGGGAAATGCCACCAAGTTAAACTTTTGATCGGCCGAACACATGGTCCTATGCCAAAAATAGTTTCAGGGAATTTGGTGCTTTTGCTCCTGCTTCCGAAATATGGGTTGCTTCGCCTGGCTCTAAGGTAGCATTTGCGCCACTTAGTCTCAGGCACCGTCCCTCCAAAAAGTTCTCTCCTGGTGGGTTGCAAAGTCGTTTAAAACCCCGGATCCAGTTGTCCGGGAACCGCAAGGTTACCTAATGCCGAAAACAATTCCATGACATTCGTGACTAAGTAACGCTAAGGTGACCAGGGACCCACAAAGTCATAATGCTGAATTTAGCTCCATAACAATCGTGACTAAGTACTGCTGAGGACAATTTGTGGGTTTCTTCATGCGAACGGCCACCAGGGAGCTGGAGTTTGGATCCATTTGAATGAAGGGAAAGTGCTGAACCAGGGGCACCCAGGGAAAGCTGCTAATGGTGGCTGGGGAAGTAAACCCCTGAACGGGGTCTCCAAAGTGGACCACAGTCGGTGGCCTGGAGGCCAGCTTCCACACTCCTCCAGGAGTTTATGGCCAACGCCAATTTTAGAGGTACTTTTATTAATTAATTCCAACATCCTGTAGTGGATAATCTTACCAAACTAATGCAAATGGTAAGAGAGAATGTGAGAGATAAACATAACCAATTAGATAATTTAACTAGACACTAGGTGCAGTACACTGAACTACCAGAGTGAGGCCCTGTGAAAATTACATGATGAGCCTTCATATATGAAACTTTATAAAAATCCAACTACAAGTTTTCTCTGCTGTAGATGACAACAGAAGATGAGATTGCAAGGTGGTCTTTATGTAAGACATTGCTTCCCAGTACTCCTGTTTTTCATATTTTACTCAAAATCCATAAATATCAAGTCCTATACCCTGAAAAGATGACTGTTTTGAATGACATTACGGAAGATGCATCCTTCATACCTTCATACATGTCAGAGCTGGGTAAAGGTAGGCACTTCGTATATACCTGAGGTGTATTTGGTAATACCTTGGCACTGAACTGATGTAACTGAGATTATAATCCCAAAAGGACTAAGCATTTCAACTGAGATGTGGGTGACCTTTTATATAAAAGGATTTGGGCATGAAACCACAGGACCACCAGAGAAGTTGGAATTATTGGTCATGCTTACACTCTATGCTTAAAATAAGATAGGTCAGACATTGGTGGTCTCCACAAAGCCTTGGAACAACTGAACAACAAACTTCAAGATTTAGCAAAACAAGTTTACTGACTCCAGCAAGAAATGTTCCATCTGAGGAGGAACCACACAGAGGTACCAGAACCCTGGATATTATTTTTCATTATGGTTTCATATAGTAGAAAACAAATTCTCAAAGTCAAACTGTTGATATTATTGATGCAGTCCAATGCCCAGGGCAGGATTTACATGGCAGGTGTCTGTAGGCACCTAGGATTAACGTAAATGGTTTGTTTTCAGGTTTATGCTGTGAGTGCTGGAGTTTAAAGGGTTATTTACAAAGTGCTCACCCTCCCATGTCTTCTGTAAACCAGTCAGGTTGATGATATTAGTGCTGCAGGAGCTGTTATACAGTGTGTATCACTCAGAGCTTCCATTGCTCCTCCAGCAAGGCATTTACTGTGTAAGAGGATGTTAGTGGGCAGATAAGAAGTGATCCCTTCTTCTTCCTGTCCAGCTTCACGCACAGACACTGGAGAAGCTGGGACAGCACTGTGTTTTACACCCTCTATAACTATTTCTGCAGCTCTGGTATTAAGGTTGACTGGGCTACAGAGGATACTGGTCAAAGCTTCTGGTACTTATTTCCCAACTAGCCTATTTAAAGGGACACTATAGTCACTAAAACAATTGGTGTATAGATCATGCCTCAGAAGTCACTCTGACTATTAATCAGATTTGAATTGTTAATTGTAACTAAAGAATTTTAGACAACTGATGAATTCCTTAATATTTAATTGGACTATTGTTCTGTCTTTGTAGAGATCAGGACTGGAAGGGATTTTGACTGAAATGCAGGCTACCCTTGTTTACCGGTTCTCCCAGTTACAGTGCCTCATTGATATCATGGAAGCTTAATTGGCACACATCCAGTCCGACCTAGAACATAACTCTGACTACCAACGTCTTATGGACCAGAAGACCCATCTGGAAAGGGAAATAAGCAACTACAGACTACTGGATGGACACAACATTCAGTGAGTAGAAAATATTTTGTCACATAGAATGCTTATACTGATTTTGTTATTTAAATATATAAGAATGTTCAATGTGAGTGTATGTGACAATATCATGTGAATGTTTTTTTATCTAAAGCAATTGGAATATTTCACCAAAAATATACATGTTGCAGCACAGCTATAATTCTTTAGTGTCTACTCTACCATCATAAGAATGACCAAGGAAAGAGAATTTTGGGTTTGAAGATTCATTATGAAGGAATTTATTTGCGATTAAGTTTCAGAAGATGGGGAAAATATAGTAATAGTACGACCAGAGGTTAGACATAGGTCTCCGGCAGAGCGTAGGAGCGTAGACGGGACATATTTGTGTATTAGTGAGGATAAATAGGTCGGAGCAGCATAGTGTAAAGATTTGTAAGCAAGTATCAGGGTATTTAAAACTCAATTTATTGCAAGCAATGCTTAAAAGAAGTATGTATCTATATATATATAGTAGTTAAAGGGTGTGGTGATCCTCTGATGTCCATTTTTAATTCAACTAATATAACTATACTTGCTTCTGCTCCAAGCTTTTATACTAACCCATAAATTAAGTTTTATGCCAAACACTCACTTTTAAGGAGGACACAAATCAATTTGAATGGGAGTCTGATGCCTATAAATTACTTATAAAATGACCTCATAACATCTAACTTGAATCTTATATAAGACGGGCAAAGTCAAGAAGACACTAGTTCAGCTGAAGAACAGTAAGCAATTTCCATTCTAAGTGTGTCAGAAAGAAGTTGTGTTATCAACATGAGCCACAGAAGCAATCACTCATCCTGCGGATCTGTCTTGGGAGCTCATCATTCTGGGGGACATAACTCCTCCAGCTACCTCTCTTCAGTTCAACATGGAAGCTCTAAAAAATGCTACAACAAGAGTCAAAGTGGTCACTATAAAGCTTCCAGCCATCATGGAGCAAGCAAGAAGCTTTCCAGCCATTCTTCTATTGGTCTTGAACATGGAACTGGAAGTGTTGGTAATCTTAGATCTCATCACAAGAGTTCTAGCAGTCATAATCATGGTCTACTCAGTATCAATGAGAAGGAAACAATGCAGTTTCTAAATGGACGTCTTGCATCTTATCTGGAGAAGGTTCATTCACTAGAACAGGAGAATTCTCAACTGGAGAGGAAGATATGCGAATGGTATGCAAATAACGCCCCCAGCTCCTTGCCAGACTCCAGTCAGTACTTCAGGACAATCCATGAGCTTCAGAACCAGGTAAAATAAATATTTACACATGTAACTCATTTAGGCAGTATACCATTAACAGTTATCTTGAAGATGGCTATTCATGAGATGATACTGCAGTATTGAAGCAAAGTCAAATATTAACATTCTAGACGCACAGGAACAGAGGGTGTTGAGTGCCCTTCTCAAACAAGCCTACATTCTAGAGAGAGTGGGGTAAAGTGGCACAAAAGGTAAGGGTAGGATACATTTCATGCATGGGGAAAAGTAGGTTGCTAGAATAATTTACAGTGAAGGGTTAGTTTTTTGGATTACATGGTTGCAGGAGAAGAAGCAGAGTTACCAAGTTGCGGGAAAGGAACCTATTAACATTTAAATGTATATGCTTTCCTAGAAAAAATAGTTTTCAATGATTTTTTGAAGTAACAGAGACGGGGTGAGAGTCTAATGGAGAAGGGAAGGGAGTTCCATAGGAATGGCATGGCCCTAGAGAGGTCTTGAAGGTGGGCATCAGAGGTACGAGTAAGAACAGAGTATTGACCATGAGGGACATTTATTAATTCTGGGGCAAAGTTCTAAATAAGGAGCAATCGCCACAGAAACCAATGGAATATCTTCGAACACTTTGTACCAAGTATTTAATCTGTTTTGCCTTGATAAATCTCCTTCTTTGTATTTTGTATTTAGAGCTGTATTGAGTTATTTTTCCTTCACAGGTTGCTTCTGCCTCAGTGGACAATGCAAGAATTGCCTTACAGATAGATAATGGCCAACAAGCTGCAGATGACTTCAGAAGCAAGTAAGTTTTTAGAACAATTTGTATAGAATACAACAGAACATTTCACTATATTTAATTCCCGCTAGCATTGAAGTGAAAAGTGTTTTAAGATGGGCGTTAATGTACAGTGCATGAATTAATAACTGATAACCAAAAATGTTTCCTGCACATCACATTATCCCACATTCCTCAGTTAAATAGCAGAGGTTTTTAGTACTACTTTAACAACGATTAAAGTGTAAGCTCATCTGCCGACTATCAGGCAAGCCTCTTTGGTTAGTCCAACACTAGCAATTCACCTTCCAGCTTTTAGCTAAAAGGAAAAATATCTAATGAGAAAGAAAAGGGTATTCTTATGAATCTCTACAAACTAAATAATCCTTAACAGAGAATACATAGAGTTGGCAATTGAATGTATTAACCATTAAGTCTACTGAATGCTTTGGAATGTTTTACTCATGTTTCCATTGTGTGCTCAACTTAGGTATGAGATGGAGAAAAACTTAAGGTCCAATGTAGAGGCTGACATTGGAGCTCTGCACAAAGCCCTAGGACAGCTTAACAGTAAACTTCAAGACTTAGCGATCCAAGTTCAATGCCTCCAGCAAGAAATTCTCCAGTTGAAGAACAACCACACAGAGGTAATATTGATGGTGAATTCGTTGTGATGTGGGTATAAGTCCCATAATGTTAACACATACAGGGTAACATACGTTGTTATATGTTCTAATAATATTTAACAACAAATGACATCATAGATCTATTACAATCTGTAATTAAATGGAATCAATGATGCCAACATATCATTATTTTATTAATGCACTTAGCACATTTAGTCACATAAGTGTGTGAAGGATAACAACATAAATGCATAAAATGTTTTACTAGATGCTTGGAATACCCTGGCAGTAAATTGAGCAATGTCAAACTCTATAATTTTTTCCTGTAATATTCCAAATATGTTTCACATATGTCACGTGTGGAACATAAGTCTGAGGTGTCATAACGGGTAGATGTCGGGCACTGGCGGATGTTATCTACTATCATAACTTCTTTATTTATGCTATGTAATAGAAATAGAATTGATCCTATGAAATGGGGTTACATTAAATATTAGGTTTTTAAATTTTGGCCCAAACTATTCACAAAAACCTCGTAAAAACTCACTGACTGAAACATTGATTTTCAACTTTGTGTGCCGTGTAGATGGAAACTCAAGTATATCACATACCTGTGATACTGAAGGAATTTAAAAATGAAATATAAATCCATCAGAAATAATTAATTCACATTTGTTATTCTAAAATGGGTCCCTAATATAAAATTAAATTTGTATGAGTAAACCTAGCGGCCGTCAAGGGCCCGGGCCCAGGCGGTGGCTGGTGGATAACCTCTATCGGTGCTGGCCACCTTAGAAACTTCATTACAGCCCTGTGGCACTCCTCAGTGACTCGGAACACTGTAGATAGTACTCTTAGTCATCAACTGAGCACTCAGACTGTATGGGAGCTCTTATAGTGGTCTGGAAAAAACACACACACTCACACACAACATACATACACAACACTTAGCCACACTCAGACTCCCCTACAGACACACAATACTCCTCCACATACAAAACTCAGCATACCACATGTAACACTCAGCCAGCACACTTAGCCCCCCACCCATCCAGCTCTAAGCCTCATCCGCACGCACAACACACGACCACTACACACACTCTCAAACACAACTCTTAGTCTTCTACATACATATGCAACACTCATAGAACAGAGCCCAGAGCTCTAGAAGGAGGCCTCACTATGGCATTTTGTCTAGAGCCTTGGGTAACCTTAATAATTTATTAAAACCCATTGTATCTGGGTGGATAGTTTACTATTTTACACCACCAAACCTGGGATAGCAGGGGGTGGGGGAAGAATCACATCACAATGAAAATCAATAAAAAAATTCTGCTGATTGATCTGTTTTTGGAATTTCATACTCTATATGTAGCCTTTAATAAATTTTCTTCTCACATCTGAACATGATTTGTTTCAACCCAAACATAAAGGAAGTGAATGTGCTGCGTGCTCAGCTGGGAGCCAGAGTCAATGTAGAAATGAATGCTGCTCCATCCATCGATCTGAACAGCGTTTTATCTGAGGTCAGAGAGGAATACGAAAACCTGATGGAGAGGAACCTCCGGGAAGTCGAGGGCATGTTCTTGGAAAGGGTAATGCAAATTATTTAATTGTCTCACACTTCTATACCCATTCTACGTAATTAAAATCTGCTCACAACCATTTTTGTTTTGTGTTAGAATTCAATTTCACTAAAATTAAAAGTTTGATGAATTATTCACCAATGTTTGAATTCAAAATAAATTTAAATAGAATTTCAAATTTAAGGTCAAATAAGCGGAACTAGAAAAATTTTCTAAGTCAGCTATGCTTTTAGTTTAGCTACTCTGGACCTAAATTTTAAATTCACTTTGACTCTCACTGTAGTAAATAACCCTTACAGGGAATAACCCTGTGAATTTATATCCAATTTTGTTCCTGAAGGAAATTACACATTTCTAGATTTCAAAACACTATTGATCATAATCATTGTGCCTCACATGCTCTACTTTGCTAAAAAGACAAAAAAAAACATACAAAGTTTTAAAAATGTGACTATTACTCAAAGGATTCCAGATCAGTTTTAACCGTAAGATAAGTGTAAATCACATCTTTTAATGTTCCTTATATTATGGGGTGGACATAATTTAGAGCTATATAAGTTACTCAAATAAAGAGAACTGAAGAACTTCCATTGGATGTTTTTTTCTCCTTGCAGAGTGCAGAATTGGACCGCGAGGTATCTTCTGGATCTGAACAAATGCAGTCAGTAAATAATGAACTTATTGATCTCAAACACTCTGTACAGACCCTGGAGATTGAGTTGCAAAGCCAATTAAGTTTGGTAAGTAAGCTTTAATATACAGCACATGTGCAAAGACAGACAGATTGGTAGACCTACAGACAGTTAGATGAAAAATTGCTACACCTAGCAATACTATTAGCCTTAAAATAGCCATACAATTATTTTACTTTTTAATGATATTTCAGGAATTATGGCTGCACACAATGACATTACGATTTATTTGTGGTTATGGGTTAACCAACAGGTTTTCTGCATGTGTTCTGCAAACTCTGCACTTACACTTAGAAAAAAAAAAAAAACTATGCTGAGAGTTATGTAGTACCTCTGTAGTCAGTCTGTGATTTGTATTAACAAATATAACAGATCTTTTTATTTTTTTACTTTTTATTGAAACTCCTTTTGCAAGATACATCTGGCAGATAGTAAATTGATAGTAAATTGATATGTGTTCCATTACCACACAACCTTTCCAGTGAAAAAGTAAAAACAAATGAATAATCCTCTCCTGTAGCTCCTCTGCCAAATGTAAATTTAATGAGACACTATATTCATCAGAACCAGTACAGTTTAATGTACCCGTAGTTGTTCTGGAGTCTATAGCCTGTCCCTGTCCCATTCTTTTCAATGTAAACACTGCCTTTTCAGAGAAACTTGCTGTTTAGTAACACCTCTAGTGGAAGTCACTCAGGCAGCCACTAAAGATGCTTCCTAATTCAGTTCTGCATTATGTGCAGCACCTACAGAAATCCTATGATATTATGAAATGTGTGGCTGTTCTCTGTCACAATGTGATTATGATAAATCACAAAGTATACAATTTCAGGCAAAAGATAATTTCCTTTGTTTTGTTTTTGTTTCCATCATTTTAGAAATCTGCTTTGGAAGGCACTCTAGCCGAGACAGAGGCCAATTTTAGATCCCAACTTTCCCAGTTACAGTGCATCATTGATAATGTAGAATCTCAGCTATCACAAATCCGGTCTGACCTTGAACAACAGAACCACAAGTACCAGCTCCTCATGGACCAGAAGACCCATCTTGAGAGGGAAATCAGTACTTACAGACATTTGATGGATGGACATGATATTCAGTATGTAATAAAGACGTTGCTATTTTCATTTTTTAAGTTTCAGAATGAATAATATGAGAAGGGAATATAAATACATGCTGAAGGGGATATATAACAAACATTTTTAATAAATGCTCTTATACACACAATTGTTTGATAAAATGTAAATCTTTGTTGACTAATATAATACACATGAAACAAAATTAATCTAATCTCAGCCTTTCCCATTTTTCCTTGCAGTTTCTCAGGTCACAGTTCTTCAGGAGGTAAGTAATGAGCATTATTAAAAGTCTTATATATGACATTAATTGTAATTATAATATTTCTTTGTTATGGTAGGTAACTACTCGTGATATCCATTAAAAAACGCATCTCTGTTATTTCTAATTACAATAACATTTAAAGGGAAAATGTAAAATTTCAAAACATGTTAGATTTAAGGAACAATCACCATGGAAACCAATAAAACGTGTCTTAACATTTACCACCTTGCAACAAAATAGCACCTGTTCAGTCTTGATAAAACTCCCTTAATGTCTTTAGCTATACAACACAGTTTTTAGATTGGAATCAATAATTATAATATACATAGCCATTATAATATTTAATAATATTGTTTAGGATTTTAAAAAGAAAATAGATACATGACTAATAAATTACATTTATCAGAATGTTAAAAACTGTAATAAAAGTCATTTAACTAATTCTTATAGCTCCACCTATTGTGTATTTGTAATTGGGTGAGGTGTACAATTCTCTGCAGAGTCTTAGTTGATGTGCTCCATTTGAATTGCATTGATTCAGACATTCCCCTAGTGTCAATATAATGATGAAGCTATATTTGTATAGTACTAAACTTAACATTGATGTCTCATCTGTTTAAGGATTTCATCACAGCAAGTGCTAGAAGAAGTCCAGAAAGACATCAGTCTTTGAAACACGTGGATCTCTAGAGTAAAGAAAGAAATATTATATTGTCTACTTTTTCTGAATCTGGGTGTTGTGTTTCTATTATCTTTTTTTTTTATTTTGTTTTCTGTAGAGTGATTAAAGCAAGTGAAAAGTCCTATACAAAATATATCCACTGCAAGAGAAATTTGATCTTAAATATACCATGCACAGAACAAACATTGTGTAAAATGACTTTAAACCTCTTCATAGTGGAACTGAGTTTTTTTTTTTTTAAACATTTGGTTCTATATAATGAATATAATATATGATCAACCACTCAAAAAATAAACATAGAGCTAGATAGATAGACAGACAGACATACAGACAGGTAGATAGATAGATAGATAGATAGATAGATAGATAGATAGATAGATAGATAGATAGATAGATATAAAAAATGACTTTTCTTTTCCCATGTTGGAAATATTTGGTAACTGTTTTCTCATTTATAATTATGTTCACTAAATATTCAATTGGAAGATGTGTACATTGATTGGATTTTTTTTTGTTGAAGAAACTTTTGGACTGTATTGTCAAAATTCTTTCTGACTGTGGCTGTTTTTCTAACTGTCCTTTAATCAGGATTTTGTAAATAAACTTTATCTGTCTCATGCAAACTGGACGTTTATCTGGATGTTTTTTATAAGGTAACATAATGGAAAAAGTAAGCGTATATGATGCCATCCTATCTTGGTTTTACTTGTATGATTTTAAAGGAACATTATACAGTCAGGAACACAAACCTCCATGTCTGACCCTATAGGGTTAAAACACTATTTAGCGTGCTGGACTGACCCAGGAAGCACCTCTAGTAGCCGTCTGAGGAGTGGCCACTGGGGGTATCCCTAGGCTGTAATGTAAACACTGCCTTTGCTCTGAAATTCTGTGTTTACAGCAACAAGCCTGCAGGGACTGACTATACTCACCTGAACAAATATAATAAGCTGTTGTTGTTGTGGTGACCATAGTGTCCCTTTAACCATTAATATCTATTGATGGAAACTGATACATCTTGACTACTCAGAAGAATTCATGAGAAACAACGAGATGAGAACATTGAAGGTCTGGATTTAGTCAATACACTTTGCAAATGATTTCATATTTTGGATTAATGTAATAATTTAAAAAATATTACAATATTGAAATATTTTCCAAAATATCAAATTGTTCTCTAAGTTCATTCAAAAATATTAAATAAGTTAAAAAGTCTAGAAATGAAAAATGTGCAAACAAAGCTTGCAAAGACAAGATGACAGTTTGTATAATTTATAAAATATTTAACTCTGAAATTAGAGAATTATTGCAAAAGTTTAAATGCAAGAATAGTCAGTTTTGTAACATCAATACAAAGATGCTGATATTTAAATGGCAGCAGTTCAATTTTAAATCTTCAGAACTGCCACTGAGTAATGTTTTGCCAAAGAGCAAATATCTCAGTGCTACAGGAAAGATAACGTATGAGTGACGCATAATTGGCCAACAATAAAAAAAAAATGAATAATGCATAGGCAATCTTTATTAATAAAATATAATTTGGTAAATTTTCTCAAGAAAGAATGTATGAATGTTGAGACGGGAGAAAATGATCAATTGGCCATAAAAAAAAACATTGATCATTTGAGAGAATAGCACAGCAATTCTGTTCTCAAAACATTTTCCTTTATGAGAGAAGGATGAAAAGGATTGGGAATCAGTAGCATTAAATTGCATGATTGTGATCTGATTTCAAGAGATAATATGTATTTTCAAGATATTTATGGTGTGGCGAACTGCCTGGTACCCTAACCGGGTACCTCCACCAATTCATGTTTCCTAGTAATCACTGAGTACCATAATCACTGAGTACCATAATCACTGCCCCGGGACACCATAAGCACGTCCAGCTCCTAGCCATCGCAGCTTGGCTGGGGTCTCGCTGTCTCTGGCCACCCTGGACCCAAGTCCTGGATACAGCTCCCAGTGGGTAGACCTGTCCTCCAGAGAGTTTAGCAGGTATAGCAAGTATAGTTGTTCCCCCACACATGAGCCGAGGATTTATGCTAGGAAGTAGTCTGTTTAATGCAGGCAAACATTCACAATTTATACACACAGCCTCATTTACATACAATAGGGTACATAGAGCACTATAGTACAAGGAAGCGTGGGGTCAGACAATAACAAGGGCTGATGGAAGATTAAAGAGGGACAAAGCAGCTACTTTAAACTGGTCTGGTAGTGTCTCTAGGACAATGCCCTGCTGGGGAAATAATAAGAGAGGCACATACAAGCAATACATTCAACATACTCCTCCCCTGTGCCTGAAGGATAATTGAGTCAAGAACTGTACAAACTCAATTATCTCCAGGTACAGAAAAACACACAATTTCACAACACCCCAAAAGTACCCTGAAAATCCATGGAAACCCATTAAGAGCCATCCCCGGATAGCCCTGATCTGAGTGACAAAAATCACTCCGATCGATGCAGTGGTTAGGATTTTCTATGGAAGTCAACTTTTAAAATGTTTTCTTTTGCTTCCATAGGTCTTTGTATATATAAGAGTCAAATCAGTCAAAACAGTCATTAGACTGAACTCATAGATTGTAACCAAATTTAAGCAGTCCTTAACTTCTCAAACATCCCCATTTTTTTTAAATGTTGTGAATGTGTTGTAACGGATCCCCTATACTACGACTGAGTATATCCGTTGAAGAGTCTCCCGGGTCCCAAAGTGAAGCAGTGATTATAACTCTGAGCTACCCAAACATCAGCCAAGACTTGATGGGTACAAATGAACTCCTTTATTATGGCCAAGTTGCCTGCTTATATACACAACACCCAGCAGGGGGTCTCCACACAATACAATGCAAGCCCCTCCCAAAGATCTCTGTACCTGGGACATAATTGCATTAAAGACCGGTAAGCTAATTAACTCCCAGGAACAGAGAGGCAAACAGAAAAACATAAAAATACCCAAAACATCATACAAATATACAATAACCCCACTAATAACATCATAAAAATATAAAATATATAAAAAAAAACAAAAAAATGTACAATAACCCCAAATAGCACTGATCTGAATGACCAAGTTCTCCAAGTAGCGCTCATATCCATGCAGTGTAGGGGAAATGCCACCAAGTTAAACTTCTGATCTGCCAAACACGTGGTCCTATGCCAAAAATAGTTTCAGGGCATTTGGTGCTTTTGCCGATCAACTTTCAGGAGCTCCTGCTTCCGAAAAAATGGTTGCTTCGCCTGGTTCTAAGGTAGCATTTGCGCCCCTTAGTCTCAGGCACTTTCCCTCCAAAAAGTGCTCTCCTGGTGGGTTGCAAAGTCGTTCAAAACCCCGGATCCAGTTGTCCGGGAACCACAAGGTTACCTCATGCCGAAAACAATTCCATGACATTCGTGACTAAGTAACGCTACGGTGACCGGGGACCCACAATGTCATCATGCTGCATTTAGCTCCATAACAATCATGGCTAAGTACTGCTGAGGACAATTTGTGGGTTTCTTCATGCGAACGGCCACCAGGGAGCTAGTGGTTGGTTCCATTTGAATGAAGGGAAAGTGCTGAACCAAGGGCACCCAGGGAAAGCTGCTAATGGTGGCTGGGGAAGTAAACCCCTGAACGGGGTCTCCAAAGTGGACCACAGTTGGTGGCCTGGAGGCCAGCTTCCACACTCCTCCAGGAGTTTATGGCCAACGTCCATGGTAAAGAGCGTTTGCCACATATGTTAACACTATATAAATAGTAATAATAACTGTACTTAAGCTTTTTCCATTAGTAAAAATTCATATTTTTATTCCGCCAATTTTAGAGGTACTTTTATTCATTAATTCCAACATCCTGTAGTGGACAATCTTACCAAACTATGGAAAATGGAAAGAGAGAATGTGAGAGATAAACATAACCAATTAGATAATTTAACTAGACACTAGGTGCAGTTATGGTTCTGAATACACTGAACTGCCAGAGTGAGGCCCTGTGAAAATTACATGATGAGCCTTCATATATGAAACTTTCTAAAAATCCAACTACATGTTTTCTCTGCTGTAGATGACAACAGAAGATGAGATTGCAAGGTGGTCTTTATGTAAGACATTGCTTCCCAGTAATCCTGTTTTTCATATTTTACTCAAAATCCATAAAAATCAAGTCCTTTAACCTGAAAAGATGACTGTTTTGAATGACATTACGGAAGATGCATCCTTCATACCTTCATACATGTCAGAGCGGGGTAAAGGTAGGTACTTCTTATATACCTGAGGTGTGTTTGATAATCCCTTGGCACTGAACTGATGTAACTGACATTATAATGCCAAGAGGACTAAGCATTTCAACTGAGATGTGGGTGACCTTTTATATAAAAGGATTTGGGCATGAAACCACAGGACCACCGGAGAAGTTGGAATTATTGGTCATGCTTACACTCTATGCTTAAAATAAGATAGGTCAGACATTGGTGGTCTCCACAAAGCCTTGGAACAACTGAACAACAAACTTCAAGATTTAGCAAAACAAGTTTACTGACTCCAGCAAGACATTTTCCATCTGAGGAGGAAACACACAGAGGTACCAGAACCCTGGATATTATTTTTCATTATGGTTTCATATAGTAGAAAACAAAATCTCAAAGTCAAACTGTTGATATTATTGATGCAGTCCAATGCCCAGGGCAGGATTTACATGGCAGGTGTCTGTAGGCACACAATCCTTGAGTGCCCCCTGCTCCCTAACTCCAAAATAAGGTAGATTAAGAATAATGAATTTATTAACAGGGCATTGCAGACCTAAAAACATATTGATATATGGCAACTACGTATGCATAAATGTATGTATGTGCATATCTTTTGCTCTGCTTGTAATTAATTGTACTTGAATGGGTGAGTATAGAGAGTGTACACACCTGTGTAAATGCATTGCAGAGTTAAAGTAACCTTAGAAATGGTTAGGGTAAAATGGGATTTAAAGTCACAGAGGGGTTAATGTCAGAATTAGATTATATAGGGTGTTTAGTGTTAAGAAGATTAACAGCTTGAGAGGAGTTAACGTTGTAGTATAAAGGCTATGTAGGATTATTGAGTTCAGGACAAGACTTGGGTTACATTTAGTACTGGAGTGCATTATGCATCAGGTTTTTAAGAGGAGTTAAACATAGGATTAACGTAAATGGTTTGTTTTCAGGTTTATGCTGTGAGTGCTGGAGTTTAAATGGTTATTTACAAAGTGCTCACCCTCCCATGTCTTCTGTAAACCAATAAGGTTGATGATATTAGTGCTGCAGGAGCTGTTATACAGTGTGTATCACTCAGAGCTTCCATTGCTCCTCCAGCAAGGCATTTACTGTGTAAAAGGATGTTAGTGGGCAGATAAGATGTGATCCCTTCTTCTTCCTGTCCAGCTTCACTTCTTCTTCCTGTCCAGCTTCACGCACAGACAATGGAGATGCTGGGAGAGCACTGTGTTTTACACCCTCTATAACTATTTCTGCAGCTCTGCTATTAAGGTTGACTGGACTACAGAGGATACTGGCCAAAGCTTCTGGTACTTATTTCCAAACTAGCCTATTTAAAGGGACACTATAGTCACTAAAACAATTGGTGTATAGATCATGCCTCTGAAGTCTCTCTGACTATTAATCAGATTTGAATTGTTAATTGTAACTAAAGAATTCTAGACAACTGATGAGTTCCTTAATATTTAAAGGACCACTATAGTGCCAGGAAAACATACTCATTTTCCTGGCACTATAGTGTCCTGAGGGTGCCCCCACCCTCAGGGTCCCCCTCCCGCCCGGCTCTGGGGAGAGGAAAGGGGTAAAAACTTACCTTTTTCCAGCGCTGGGCGGGAAGCTCTCCTCCTCCGATCCTCCTCTTCTCCTCCCCGTCGGCTGAATGCGCACGCGCGGCAAGAGCTGCGCGCGCATTCAGCTGGTCACATAGGAAAGCATTCATAATGCTTTCCTATGGACGCTGGCGTGCTCTCACTGTGAAAATCACAGTGAGAAGCACGCAAGCGCCTCTAGCGGCTGTCAATGAGACAGCCGCTAGAGGAAATAGGGGAAGGCTTAACCCATTCATAAACATGGCAGTTTCTCTGAAACTGCTATGTTTATGAAAAAATGGGTTAACCCTAGCTGGACCTGGCACCCAGACCACTTCATTAAGCTGAAGTGGTCTGGGTGCCTAGAGTGGTCCTTTAATTGGACTATTGTTCTGTCTTTGTAGAGATCAGGACTGGAAGGGATTTTGAATGAAATGCAGGCTACCCTTGGTTACCGGTTCTCTCAGTTACAGTGCCTCATTGATATCATGGAAGCTTAATTGGCACACATCAAGTCCGACCTAGAACATAACTCTGACTACCAACGTCTTATGGACCAGAAAACCCATCTGGAAAGGGAAATAAGCAACTACAGACTACTGGATGGACACAAAATTCAGTGAGTAGAAAATATTTTGTCACATTGAATGCTTATACTGATTTTGTTATTTAAATATATAAGAATGTTCAATGTGAGTGTATGTGACAATATCATGTGAATGTTTTTTTATCTAAAGCAATTGGAATATTTCACTAAAAATATACATGTTGCAGCACAGCTATAATTTATTAATTAGGAAAATTAATTTTGGGTTTGAAGATTCATTATGAAGGAATGTATTTGTGATTAAGTTTCAGAAGATGGGGAAAATATAGTAATAGTACGACCAGAGGTTAGACATAGGTCTCCGGCAGAGCGTAGGAGCGTAGACGGGACATATTTGTGTATTAGTGAGGATAAATAGGTCGGATTAGCATTGTGTAAAGATTTGTAAGCAAGTATCAGGGTATTTAAAACTCAATTTATTGCAAGCAATGCTTAAAAGAAGTATGTATCTATATATATAGTAGTTAAAGGGTGTGGTGATCCTCTGATGTCCGTTTTTAATTCAACTAATATAACTATACTTGCTTCTGCTCCAAGCTTTTATACTAACCCATAAATTAAGTTTTATGCCAAACACTCAATTTTAAGGAGGACACAAATCAATTTTAATGGGAGTCTGATGCCTATAAATTACTTATAAAATGACCTCATAACATCTAACTTGAATCATATATAAGATGGGCAAAGTCAAGAAGACACTAGTTCAGCTGAAGAACAGTAAGCAATTTCCATTCTAAGTGTGTCAGAAAGAAGTCGTGTGATCAACATGAGCCACAGAAGCAATCACTCATCCTGCGGATCTGTCTTGGGAGCTCATCATTCTGGGGGACATAACTCTTCCAGCTACCTCTCTTCAGTTCAACATGGAAGCTCTAAAAAATGCTACAACAAAAGTCAAAGTGGTCACTATAAAGCTTCCAGCCATCATGGAGCAAGCAAAAAGCTTTCCAGCCATTCTTCTATTGGTCTTGAACATGGAAGTGGAAGTGTTGGTAATCTTAGATCTCATCACAAGAGTTCTAGCAGTCATAGTCATGGTCTACTCAGTATCAATGAGAAGGAAACAATGCAGTTTCTAAATGGACGTCTTGCATCTTATCTGGAGAAGGTTCATTCACTAGAACAGGAGAATTCTCAACTGGAGAGGAAGATATGCGAATGGTATGCAAATAACGCCCCCAGCTCCTTGCCAGACTCCAGTCAGTACTTCAGGACAATCCACGAGCTTCAGAATCAGGTAAAATAAATATATACAAATGTAACTCATTTAGGCATTATACCATTATACGGTTATCTTGAAGCTGGCTATTCATGAGATGATACTGCAATATTGAAGCAAAGTCACATATTAACATTCTCTATCTCAATTTATGCAAACGTATTCTACTGTTCAAAGATTGCAGCTCATATAAAAAGAAATATTGCATTACCAGAAAAAAAGAAATATAGTCAACGTCTAGAGCTGTAAACTTGAAATCTATTTTTTTTGTGAAATCGCGGCTACATTAAAGCACTATTTATACTTTTTGTTGAGAATAATGGCATCATATGTAATTATTTGTCTAACCAATATTATGTAAAAAACATTGATGCTTATAATTATTTATGAAGTGCCAGCAAATTCTGCAGTGCTGAACAATGGGTGGACTAATAAACAAGTATTTGCAAGAAGAGGAGTTGGACGCACAGGAACAGAGGGTGTTGAGTGCCCTTCTCAAACAAGCCTACATTCTAGAGAGAGTGGGGTAAAGTGGCACGAGAGGTAAGGGTAGGATACATTTCATGCATGGGAAAAAGTAGGTTGCTAGAATAATTTACAGTGAAGGGTTAGTTTTTGGATTACATAGTTGCAGGAGAAGAAGCAGGGTTACCAAGTTGCGGGAAAGGAACCTATTAACATTTTAATTTATATGCTTTCCTAGAAAAGTTTTCAATGATTTTTTGAAGTAACAGAGACTGGTTGAGAGTCTAATGGAGAAGGGAAGGGAGTTCCATAGGAATGGCATGGCCCTAGAGAGGTCTTGAAGGTGGGCATCAGAGGTGCGAGTAAGAACAGAGTATTGACCATGAGGGACATTTATTAATTCTGGGGCAAAGTTCTAAACAAGGAGCAATCGCCACAGAAACCAATGGAATATCTTCGAACACTTTGTACCAAGTATTTAATCTGTTTTGCCTTGATAAATCTCCTTCTTTGTATTTTGTATTTAGAGCTGTATTGAGTTATTTTTCCTTCACAGGTTGCTTCTGCCTCAGTGGACAATGCAAGAATTGCCTTACAGATAGATAATGGCCAACAAGCTGCAGATGACTTCAGAAGCAAGTAAGTTTTTAGAACAATTTGTATAGAATACAACAGAACATTTCACTATATTTAATTCCCGCTAGCATTGAAGTGAAAAGTGTTTTAAGATGGGCGTTAATGTACAGTGTATGAATTAATAATTGATAACCAAAAATGTTTCCTGCACATCACATTATCCCACATTCCTCAGTTAAATAGCAGAGGTTTTTAGTACTACTTTAACAACGATTAAAGTGTAAGCTCATCTGCCGACGATCAGGCAAGCCTCTTTGGTTAGTCCAACACTAGCAATTCACCTTCCAGCTTTTAGCTAAAAGGAAAAATATCTAATGAGAAAGAAAAGGGTATTCTTATGAATCTCTACAAACTAAATAATCCTTAACAGAGAATACATAGAGTTGGCAATTGAATGTATTAACCATTAAGTCTACTGAATGCTTTGGAATGTTTTACTCATGTTTCCATTGTGTGCTCAACTTAGGTATGAGATGGAGAAAAACTTAAGGTCCAATGTAGAGGCTGACATTGGAGCTCTGCACAAAGCCCTAGGACAGCTTAACAGTAAACTTCAAGACTTAGCGATCCAAGTTCAATGCCTCCAGCAAGAAATTCTCCAGTTGAAGAACAACCACACAGAGGTAATATTGATGGTGAATTCGTTGTGATGTGGGTATAAGTCCCATAATCTTAACACATACAGGGTAACATACGTTGTTATATGTTCTAATAATATTTAACAACAAATGACATCATAGATCTATTACAATCTGTAATTAAATGGAATCAATGATGCCAACATATCATTATTTTATTAATGCACTTAGCACATTTAGCCACATAAGTGTGTGAAGGATAACAACATAAATGCATAAAATGTTTTACTAGATGCTTGGAATACCCTGGCAGTAAATTGAGCAATGTCAAACTCTATAATTTTTTCCTGTAATATTCCATATATGTTTCACATATGTCACGTGTGGAACATAAGTCTGAGGTGTCATAACGGGTAGATGTCGGGCACTGGTCGGATGTTATCTACAATCATAACTTCTTTATTTATGCTATGTAATAGAAATAGAATTGATCCTATGAAATGGGGTTACATTAATTATTAGGTTTTTAAATTTTGGCCCAAACTATTCACAAAAACCTCGTAAAAACTCACTGACTGAAACATTGATTTTCAACTTTGTGTGTCGTGTAGATGGAAACTCAAGTATATCACATACCTGTGATACTGAAGGAATTTAAAAATGAAATATAAATCCATCAGAAATAATTAATTCACATTTGTTATTCTAAAATGGGTCCCTAATATAAAATTAAATTTGTATGAGTAAACCTAGCGGCCGTCAAGGGCCCGGGCCCAGGCGGTGGCTGGTGGATAACCTCTATCGGTGCTGGCCACCTTAGAAACTTCATTACAGCCCTGTGGCACTCCTCAGTGACTCGGAACACTGTAGATAGTACTCTTAGTCATCAACTGAGCACTCAGACTGTATGGGAGCTCTTATAGTGGTCTGGAAAAAACACACACACTCACACACAACATACATACACAACACTTAGCCACACTCAGACTCCCCTACAGACACACAATACTCCTCCACATACAAAACTCAGCATACCACATGTAACACTCAGCCAGCACACTTAGCCCCCCACCCATCCAGCTCTAAGCCTCATCCGCACGCACAACACACGACCACTACACACACTCTCAAACACAACTCTTAGTCTTCTACATACATATGCAACACTCATAGAACAGAGCCCAGAGCTCTAGAAGGAGGCCTCACTATGGCATTTTGTCTAGAGCCTTGGGTAACCTTAATAATTTATTAAAACCCATTGTATCTGGGTGGATAGTTTACTATTTTACACCACCAAACCTGGGATAGCAGGGGGTGGGGGAAGAATCACATCACAATGAAAATCAATAAAAAAATTCTGCTGATTGATCTGTTTTTGGAATTTCATACTCTATATGTAGCCTTTAATAAATTTTCTTCTCACATCTGAACATGATTTGTTTCAACCCAAACATAAAGGAAGTGAATGTGCTGCGTGCTCAGCTGGGAGCCAGAGTCAATGTAGAAATGAATGCTGCTCCATCCATCGATCTGAACAGCGTTTTATCTGAGGTCAGAGAGGAATACGAAAACCTGATGGAGAGGAACCTCCGGGAAGTCGAGGGCATGTTCTTGGAAAGGGTAATGCAAATTATTTAATTGTCTCACACTTCTATACCCATTCTACGTAATTAAAATCTGCTCACAACCATTTTTGTTTTGTGTTAGAATTCAATTTCACTAAAATTAAAAGTTTGATGAATTATTCACCAATGTTTGAATTCAAAATAAATTTAAATAGAATTTCAAATTTAAGGTCAAATAAGCGGAACTAGAAAAATTTTCTAAGTCAGCTATGCTTTTAGTTTAGCTACTCTGGACCTAAATTTTAAATTCACTTTGACTCTCACTGTAGTAAATAACCCTTACAGGGAATAACCCTGTGAATTTATATCCAATTTTGTTCCTGAAGGAAATTACACATTTCTAGATTTCAAAACACTATTGATCATAATCATTGTGCCTCACATGCTCTACTTTGCTAAAAAGACAAAAAAAAAAAAAACATACAAAGTTTTAAAAATGTGACTATTACTCAAAGGATTCCAGATCAGTTTTAACCGTAAGATAAGTGTAAATCACATCTTTTAATGTTCCTTATATTATGGGGTGGACATAATTTAGAGCTATATAAGTTACTCAAATAAAGAGAACTGAAGAACTTCCATTGGATGTTTTTTTCTCCTTGCAGAGTGCAGAATTGGACCGCGAGGTATCTTCTGGATCTGAACAAATGCAGTCAGTAAATAATGAACTTATTGATCTCAAACACTCTGTACAGACCCTGGAGATTGAGTTGCAAAGCCAATTAAGTTTGGTAAGTAAGCTTTAATATACAGCACATGTGCAAAGACAGACAGATTGGTAGACCTACAGACAGTTAGATGAAAAATTGCTACACCTAGCAATACTATTAGCCTTAAAATAGCCATACAATTATTTTACTTTTTAATGATATTTCAGGAATTATGGCTGCACACAATGACATTACGATTTATTTGTGGTTATGGGTTAACCAACAGGTTTTCTGCATGTGTTTTGCAAACTCTGCACTTACACTTAGAAAAAAAAAAAAAAACTATGCTGAGAGTTATGTAGTACCTCTGTAGTCAGTCTGTGATTTGTATTAACAAATATAACAGATCTTTTTATTTTTTTACTTTTTATTGAAACTCCTTTTGCAAGATACATCTGGCAGATAGTAAATTGATAGTAAATTGATATGTGTTCCATTACCACACAACCTTTCCAGTGAAAAAGTAAAAACAAATGAATAATCCTCTCCTGTAGCTCCTCTGCCAAATGTAAATTTAATGAGACACTATATTCATCAGAACCAGTACAGTTTAATGTACCCGTAGTTGTTCTGGAGTCTATAGCCTGTCCCTGTCCCATTCTTTTCAATGTAAACACTGCCTTTTCAGAGAAACTTGCTGTTTAGTAACACCTCTAGTGGAAGTCACTCAGGCAGCCACTAAAGATGCTTCCTAATTCAGTTCTGCATTATGTGCAGCACCTACAGAAATCCTATGATATTATGAAATGTGTGGCTGTTCTCTGTCACAATGTGATTATGATAAATCACAAAGTATACAATTTCAGGCAAAAGATAATTTCCTTTGTTTTGTTTTTGTTTCCATCATTTTAGAAATCTGCTTTGGAAGGCACTCTAGCCGAGACAGAGGCCAATTTTAGATCCCAACTTTCCCAGTTACAGTGCATCATTGATAATGTAGAATCTCAGCTATCACAAATACGGTCTGACCTTGAACAACAGAACCACAAGTACCAGCTCCTCATGGACCAGAAGACCCATCTTGAGAGGGAAATCAGTACTTACAGACATTTGATGGATGGACATGATATTCAGTATGTAATAAAGACGTTGCTATTTTCATTTTTTAAGTTTCAGAATGAATAATATGAGAAGGGAATATAAATACATGCTGAAGGGGATATATAACAAACATTTTTAATAAATGCTCTTATACACACAATTGTTTGATAAAATGTAAATCTTTGTTGACTAATATAATACACATGAAACAAAATTAATCTAATCTCAGCCTTTCCCATTTTTCCTTGCAGTTTCTCAGGTCACAGTTCTTCAGGAGGTAAGTAATGAGCATTATTAAAAGTCTTATATATGACATTAATTGTAATTATAATATTTCTTTGTTATGGTAGGTAACTACTCGTGATATCCATTAAAAAACGCATCTCTGTTATTTCTAATTACAATAACATTTAAAGGGAAAATGTAAAATTTCAAAACATGTTAGATTTAAGGAACAATCACCATGGAAACCAATAAAACGTGTCTTAACATTTACCACCTTGCAACAAAATAGCACCTGTTCAGTCTTGATAAAACTCCCTTAATGTCTTTAGCTATACAACACAGTTTTTAGATTGGAATCAATAATTATAATATACATAGCCATTATAATATTTAATAATATTGTTTAGGATTTTAAAAAGAAAATAGATACATGACTAATAAATTACATTTATCAGAATGTTAAAAACTGTAATAAAAGTCATTTAACTAATTCTTATAGCTCCACCTATTGTGTATTTGTAATTGGGTGAGGTGTACAATTCTCTGCAGAGTCTTAGTTGATGTGCTCCATTTGAATTGCATTGATTCAGACATTCCCCTAGTGTCAATATAATGATGAAGCTATATTTGCATAGTACTAAACTTAACATTGATGTCTCATCTGTTTAAGGATTTCATCACAGCAAGTGCTAGAAGAAGTCCAGAAAGACATCAGTCTTTGAAACACGTGGATCTCTAGAGTAAAGAAAGAAATATTATATTGTCTACTTTTTCTGAATCTGGGTGTTGTGTTTCTATTATCTTTTTTTTTTATTTTGTTTTCTGTAGAGTGATTAAAGCAAGTGAAAAGTCCTATACAAAATATATCCACTGCAAGAGAAATTTGATCTTAAATATACCATGCACAGAACAAACATTGTGTAAAATGACTTTAAACCTCTTCATAGTGGAACTGAGTTTTTTTTTTTTTTTTTAAACATTTGGTTCTATATAATGAATATAATATATGATCAACCACTCAAAAAATAAACATAGAGCTAGATAGATAGATAGACAGACAGACATACAGACAGGTAGATAGATAGATAGATAGATAGATAGATAGATAGATATAAAAAAATGACTTTTCTTTTCCCATGTTGGAAATATTTGGTAACTGTTTTCTCATTTATAATTATGTTCACTAAATATTCAATTGGAAGATGTGTACATTGATTGGATTTTTTTTTGTTGAAGAAACTTTTGGACTGTATTGTCAAAATTCTTTCTGACTGTGGCTGTTTTTCTAACTGTCCTTTAATCAGGATTTTGTAAATAAACTTTATCTGTCTCATGCAAACTGGACGTTTATCTGGATGTTTTTTATAAGGTAACATAATGGAAAAAGTAAGCGTATATGATGCCATCCTATCTTGGTTTTACTTGTATGATTTTAAAGGAACATTATACAGTCAGGAACACAAACGTCCATGCCTGACCCTATAGGGTTAAAACACTATTTAGGGTGCTGGACTGACCCAGGAAGCACCTCTAGTAGCCGTCTGAGGAGTGGCCACTGGGGGTATCCCTAGGCTGTAATGTAAACACTGCCTTTGCTCTGAAATTCTGTGTTTACAGCAACAAGCCTGCAGGGACTGACTATACTCACCTGAACAAATATAATAAGCTGTTGTTGTTGTGGTGACCATAGTGTCCCTTTAACCATTAATATCTATTGATGGAAACTGATACATCTTGACTACTCAGAAGAATTCATGAGAAACAACGAGATGAGAACATTGAAGGTCTGGATTTAGTCAATACACTTTGCAAATGATTTCATATTTTGGATTAATGTAAAAATTTAAAAAATATTACAATATTTAAATATTTTCCAAAATATCAAATTGTTCTCTAAGTTCATTCAAAAATATTAAATAAGTTAAAAAGTCTAGAAATGAAAAATGTGCAAACAAAGCTTGCAAAGACAAGATGACAGTTTGTATAATTTATAAAATATTTAACTCTGAAATTAGAGAATTATTGCAAAAGTTTAAATGCAAGAATAGTCAGTTTTGTAACATCAATACAAAGATGCTGATATTTAAATGGCAGCAGTTCAATTTTAAATCTTCAGAACTGCCACTGAGTAATGTTTTGCCAAAGAGCAAATATCTCAGTGCTACAGGAAAGATAACGTATGAGTGACGCATAATTGGCCAACAAGAAAAAAAAAATGAATAATGCATAGGCAATCTTTATTAATAAAATATAATTTGGTAAATTTTCTCAAGAAAGAATGTATGAATGTTGAGACGGGAGAAAATGATCAATTGGCCGTAAAAAAAACCATCGATCATTTGAGAGAATAGCACAGCAATTCTGTTCTCAAAACATTTTCCTTTATGAGAGAAGGATGAAAAGGATTGGGAATCAGTAGCATTAAATTGCATGATTGTGATCTGATTTCAAGAGATAATATGTATTTTCAAGATATTTGTGGTGTGGCGAACTGCCTGGTACCCTAACCGGGTACCTCCGCCAATTCATGTTTCCTAGTAATCACTGAGTACCATAATCACTGCCCCGGGACACCATAAGCACGTCCAGCTCCTAGCCATCGCAGCTTGGCTGGGGTCTCGCTGTCTCTGGCCACCCTGGACCCAAGTCCTGGATACAGCTCCCAGTGGGTAGACCTGTCCTCCAGAGAGTTTAGCAGGTATAGCAAGTATAGTTGTTCCCCCACACATGAGCCGAGGATTTATGCTAGGAAGTAGTCTGTTTAATGCAGGCAAACATTCACAATTTATACACACAGCCTCATTTACATACAATAGGATACATAGAGCACTATAGTACAAGGAAGCGTGGGGTCAGACAATAACAAGGGCTGATGGAAGATTAAAGAGGGACAAAGCAGCTACTTTAAACTGGTCTGGTAGTGTCTCTAGGACAATGCCCTGCTAGGGAAATAATAAGACAGGAATAAGGGGGAGGATGAGAGGCACATACAAGCAATACATTCAACATACTCCTCCCCTGTGCCTGAAGGATAATTGAGTCAAGAACTGTACAAACTCAATTATCTCCAGGTACAGAAAAACACACAATTTCACAACACCCCAAAAGTACCCTGAAAATCCATGGAAACCCATTAAGAGCCATCCCCGGATAGCCCTGATCTGAGTGACAAAAATCACTCCGATCGATGCAGTGGTTAGGATTTTCTATGGAAGTCAACTTTTAAAATGTTTTTTTTGCCCATAGTCTTTGGGCAGGAGGCTAGCCAGCAGGCCCCTTCAGGAACACGTGACAGAGGCATCTTTTCCAAATATGGTATTATATATTTACAAGAACTTATATGTATATATAAGAGTCAAATCAGTCAAAACAGTCATTAGACTGAACTCATAGATTGTAACCAAATTTAAGCAGGTCCTTAACTTCTCAAACATCCCCATTAAATTTTTTTAAAATGTTGTGAATGTGTTGTAACGGATCCCCTATACTACGACTGAGTATATCCGTTGAAGAGTCTCCCGGGTCCCAAAGTGAAGCAGTGATTATAACTCTGTGTTACCCAAACATCAGCCAAGACTTGATGGGTACAAATGAACTCCTTTATTATGGCCAAGTTGCCTGCTTATATACACAACACCCAGCAGGGGGTCTCCACACAATACAATGCAAGCCCCTCCCAAAGATCTCTGTACCTGGGACATAATTGCGTTAAAGACCGGTAAGCTAATTAACTCCCAGGAACAGAGAGGCAAACAGAAAAACATAAAAATACCCAAAACATCATACAAATATACAATAACCCCACTAATAACATCATAAAAATATAAAATATATAAAAAAAAAAAAAAAAATGTACAATAACCCCAAATAGCACTGATCTGAATGACCAAGTTCTCCAAGTAGCGCTCAGATCCATGCAGTGTAGGGGAAATGCCACCAAGTTAAACTTCTGATCTGCCGAACACGTGGTCCTATGCCAAAAATAGTTTCAGGGCATTTGGTGCTTTTGCCGATCAACTTTCAGGAGCTCCTGCTTCCGAAAAAATGGTTGTTTCGCCTGGTTCTAAGGTAGCATTTGCGCCCCTTAGTCTCAGGCACTTTCCCTCCAAAAAGTGCTCTCCTGGTGGGTTGCAAAGTCGTTCAAAACCCCGGATCCAGTTGTCCGGGAACCACAAGGTTACCTCATGCCGAAAACAATTCCATGACATTCGTGACTAAGTAACGCTACGGTGACCGGGGACCCACAATGTCATCATGCTGCATTTAGCTCCATAACAATCATGGCTAAGTACTGCTGAGGACAATTTGTGGGTTTCTTCATGCGAACGGCCACCAGGGAGCTAGTGGTTGGTTCCATTTGAATGAAGGGAAAGTGCTGAACCAAGGGCACCCAGGGAAAGCTGCTAATGGTGGCTGGGGAAGTAAACCCCTGAACGGGGTCTCCAAAGTGGACCACAGTTGGTGGCCTGGAGGCCAGCTTCCACACTCCTCCAGGAGTTTATGGCCAACGTCCATGGTAAAGAGCGTTTGCCACATATGTTAACACTATATAAATAGTAATAATAACTGTACTTAAGCTTTTTCCATTAGTAAAAATTCATATTTTTATTCCGCCAATTTTAGAGGTACTTTTATTCATTAATTCCAACATCCTGTAGTGGACAATCTTACCAAACTATGGAAAATGGAAAGAGAGAATGTGAGAGATAAACATAACCAATTAGATAATTTAACTAGACACTAGGTGCAGTTATGGTTCTGAATACACTGAACTGCCAGAGTGAGGCCCTGTGAAAATTACATGATGAGCCTTCATATATGAAACTTTCTAAAAATCCAACTACATGTTTTCTCTGCTGTAGATGACAACAGAAGATGAGATTGCAAGGTGGTCTTTATGTAAGACATTGCTTCCCAGTAATCCTGTTTTTCATATTTTACTCAAAATCCATAAAAATCAAGTCCTTTAACCTGAAAAGATGACTGTTTTGAATGACATTACGGAAGATGCATCCTTCATACCTTCATACATGTCAGAGCTGGGTAAAGGTAGGTACTTCTTATATACCTGAGGTGTGTTTGATAATCCCTTGGCACTGAACTGATGTAACTGACATTATAATGCCAAGAGGACTAAGCATTTCAACTGAGATGTGGGTGACCTTTTATATAAAAGGATTTGGGCATGAAACCACAGGACCACCGGAGAAGTTGGAATTATTGGTCATGCTTACACTCTATGCTTAAAATAAGATAGGTCAGACATTGGTGGTCTCCACAAAGCCTTGGAACAACTGAACAACAAACTTCAAGATTTAGCAAAACAAGTTTACTGACTCCAGCAAGACATTTTCCATCTGAGGAGGAAACACACAGAGGTACCAGAACCCTGGATATTATTTTTCATTATGGTTTCATATAGTAGAAAACAAAATCTCAAAGTCAAACTGTTGATATTATTGATGCAGTCCAATGCCCAGGGCAGGATTTACATGGCAGGTGTCTGTAGGCACACAATCCTTGAGTGCCCCCTGCTCCCTAACTCCAAAATAAGGTAGATTAAGAATAATGAATTTATTAACAGGGCATTGCAGACCTAAAAACATATTGATATATGGCAACTACGTATGCATAAATGTATGTATGTGCATATCTTTTGCTCTGCTTGTAATTAATTGTACTTGAATGGGTGAGTATAGAGAGTGTACACACCTGTGTAAATGCATTGCAGAGTTAAAGTAACCTTAGAAATGGTTAGGGTAAAATGGGATTTAAAGTCACAGAGGGGTTAATGTCAGAATTAGATTATATAGGGTGTTTAGTGTTAAGAAGATTAACAGCTTGAGAGGAGTTAAAGTTGTAGTATAAAGGCTATGTAGGATTATTGAGTTCAGGACAAGACTTGGGTTACATTTAGTACTGGAGTGCATTATGCATCAGGTTTTTAAGAGGAGTTAAACATAGGATTAACGTAAATGGTTTGTTTTCAGGTTTATGCTGTGAGTGCTGGAGTTTAAATGGTTATTTACAAAGTGCTCACCCTCCCATGTCTTCTGTAAACCAATCAGGTTGATGATATTAGTGCTGCAGGAGCTGTTATACAGTGTGTATCACTCAGAGCTTCCATTGCTCCTCCAGCAAGGCATTTACTGTGTAAGAGGATGTTAGTGGGCAGATAAGATGTGATCCCTTCTTCTTCCTGTCCAGCTTCACTTCTTCTTCCTGTCCAGCTTCACGCACAGACAATGGAGATGCTGGGAGAGCACTGTGTTTTACACCCTCTATAACTATTTCTGCAGCTCTGCTATTAAGGTTGACTGGACTACAGAGGATACTGGCCAAAGCTTCTGGTACTTATTTCCAAACTAGCCTATTTAAAGGGACACTATAGTCACTAAAACAATTGGTGTATAGATCATGCCTCTGAAGTCTCTCTGACTATTAATCAGATTTGAATTGTTAATTGTAACTAAAGAATTCTAGACAACTGATGAGTTCCTTAATATTTAAAGGACCACTATAGTGCCAGGAAAACATACTCATTTTCCTGGCACTATAGTGCCCTGAGAGTGCCCCCACCCTCAGGGACCCCCTCCCGCCCGGCTCTGGAAGGGGTAAAAACTTACCTTTTTCCAGCGCTGGGCGGAGAGCTCTCCTCCTCCGATCCTCCTCTTCTCCTCCCCGTCGGCTGAATGCGCACGCGCGGCAAGAGCTGCGCGCGCATTCAGCCGGTCACATAGGAAAGCATTCATAATGCTTTCCTATGGACGCTGGCGTGCTCTCACTGTGAAAATCACAGTGAGAAGCACGCAAGCGCCTCTAGCGGCTGTCAATGAGACAGCCGCTAGAGGAAATAGGGGAAGGCTTAACCCATTCATAAACATAGCAGTTTCTCTGAAACTGCTATGTTTATGAAAAAATGGGTTAACCCTAGCTGACCTGGCACCCAGACCACTTCATTAAGCTGAAGTGGTCTGGGTGCCTAGAGTGGTCCTTTAATTGGACTATTGTTCTGTCTTTGTAGAGATCAAGACTGGAAGGGATTTTGAATGAAATGCAGGTTACCCTTGGTTACCGGTTCTCTCAGTTACAGTGCCTCATTGATATCATGGAAGCTTAATTGGCACACATCAAGTCCGACCTAGAACATAACTCTGACTACCAACGTCTTATGGACCAGAAAACCCATCTGGAAAGGGAAATAAGCAACTACAGACTACTGGATGGACACAAAATTCAGTGAGTAGAAAATATTTTGTCACATTGAATGCTTATACTGATTTTGTTATTTAAATATATAAGAATGTTCAATGTGAGTGTATGTGACAATATCATGTGAATGTTTTTTTATCTAAAGCAATTGGAATATTTCACTAAAAATATACATGTTGCAGCACAGCTATAATTTATTAATTAGGAAAATTAATTTTGGGTTTGAAGATTCATTATGAAGGAATGTATTTGTGATTAAGTTTCAGAAGATGGGGAAAATATAGTAATAGTACGACCAGAGGTTAGACGTAGGTCTCCGGCAGAGCGTAGGAGCGTAGACGGGACATATTTGTGTATTAGTGAGGATAAATAGGTCGGATTAGCATTGTGTAAAGATTTGTAAGCAAGTATCAGGGTATTTAAAACTCAATTTATTGCAAGCAATGCTTAAAAGAAGTATGTATCTATATATATAGTAGTTAAAGGGTGTGGTGATCCTCTGATGTCCGTTTTTAATTCAACTAATATAACTATACTTGCTTCTGCTCCAAGCTTTTATACTAACCCATAAATTAAGTTTTATGCCAAACACTCACTTTTAAGGAGGACACAAATCAATTTGAATGGGAGTCTGATGCCTATAAATTACTTATAAAATGACCTCATAACATCTAACTTGAATCATATATAAGATGGGCAAAGTCAAGAAGACACTAGTTCAGCTGAAGAACAGTAAGCAATTTCCATTCTAAGTGTGTCAGAAAGAAGTCGTGTGATCAACATGAGCCACAGAAGCAATCACTCATCCTGCGGATCTGTCTTGGGAGCTCATCATTCTGGGGGACATAACTCTTCCAGCTACCTCTCTTCAGTTCAACATGGAAGCTCTAAAAAATGCTACAACAAAAGTCAAAGTGGTCACTATAAAGCTTCCAGCCATCATGGAGCAAGCAAGAAGCTTTCCAGCCATTCTTCTATTGGTCTTGAACATGGAAGTGGAAGTGTTGGTAATCTTAGATCTCATCACAAGAGTTCTAGCAGTCATAGTCATGGTCTACTCAGTATCAATGAGAAGGAAACAATGCAGTTTCTAAATGGACGTCTTGCATCTTATCTGGAGAAGGTTCATTCACTAGAACAGGAGAATTCTCAACTGGAGAGGAAGATATGCGAATGGTATGCAAATAACGCCCCCAGCTCCTTGCCAGACTCCAGTCAGTACTTCAGGACAATCCATGAGCTTCAGAATCAGGTAAAATAAATATATACAAATGTAACTCATTTAGGCATTATACCATTATACGGTTATCTTGAAGCTGGCTATTCATGAGATGATACTGCAATATTGAAGCAAAGTCACATATTAACATTCTCTATCTCAATTTATGCAAACGTATTCTACTGTTCAAAGATTGCAGCTCATATAAAAATAAATATTGCATTACCAGAAAAAAAGAAATATAGTCAACGTCTAGAGCTGTAAACTTGAAATCTATTTTTTTTGTGAAATCGCGGCTACATTAAAGCACTGTTTATACTTTTTGTTGAGAATAATGGCATCATATGTAATTATTTGTCTAACCAATATTATGTAAAAAACATTGATGCTTATAATTATTTATGAAGTGCCAGCAAATTCTGCAGTGCTGAACAATGGGTGGACTAATAAACAAGTATTTGCAAGAAGAGGAGTTGGACGCACAGGAACAGAGGGTGTTGAGTGCCCTTCTCAAACAAGCCTACATTCTAGAGAGAGTGGGGTAAAGTGGCACGAGAGGTAAGGGTAGGATACATTTCATGCATGGGAAAAAGTAGGTTGCTAGAATAATTTACAGTGAAGGGTTAGTTTTTGGATTACATAGTTGCAGGAGAAGAAGCAGGGTTACCAAGTTGCGGGAAAGGAACCTATTAACATTTTAATTTATATGCTTTCCTAGAAAAGTTTTCAATGATTTTTTGAAGTAACAGAGACTGGTTGAGAGTCTAATGGAGAAGGGAAGGGAGTTCCATAGGAATGGCATGGCCCTAGAGAGGTCTTGAAGGTGGGCATCAGAGGTGCGAGTAAGAACAGAGTATTGACCATGAGGGACATTTATTAATTCTGGGGCAAAGTTCTAAACAAGGAGCAATCGCCACAGAAACCAATGGAATATCTTCAAGCACTTTTACCAAGTATTTAATCTGTTTTGCCTTGATAAATCTCCTTCTTTGTATTTTGTATTTAGAGCTGTATTGAGTTGTTTTTCCTTCACAGGTTGCTTCTGCCTCAGTGGACAATGCAAGAATTGCCTTACAGATAGATAATGGCCAACAAGCTGCAGGTGACTTCAGAAGCAAGTAAGTTTTTAGAACAATTTGTATAGAATACTACAGAACATTTCACTATATTTAATTCCCGCTAGCATTGAAGTGAAAAGCGTTTGAAAATGGGCCTCAATTTACAGTGTATGAATTAATAACCGATAACCAAAAAAGTTTCCTGCACATCACATTATCTCACATTCCTCAGTTAAATAGCAGAGGTTTTTAGTACTACTTTAATGACGAATAAAGTGTAAGCTCATCTGCCGACGATCAGGCAAGCCTCTTTGGTTTGTCTAACACTAGCAATTCACCTTGCAGCTTTTAGCTTAAGGGATGAATATCTAATGAGAAAGAAAGGGTATTCTTATGAGTCTCTACAAACTAAATAATCCTTAACGGAGAATACACAGAGTTGGCAATTTAATATATTAACCATTAAGTCTACTGAATGCTTTGGAATGTTTTACTTATGTTTCCATGGTGTTCTCAACTTAGGTATGAGATGGAGAAAAACTTAAGGTCCAATGTAGAGGCTGACATTGGAGCTCTGCACAAAGCCCTAGGACAGCTTAACAATGAACTTCAAGACTTAGCGATCCAAGTTCAATGCCTCCAGCAAGAAATTCTCCAGTTGAAGAACAACCACACAGAGGTAATATTGATGGTGAATTCGTTGTGATGTGGGTATAATTCCCATAATGTTAACACATACAGGGTAACATATGTTGTTATATGTTCTAATAATATTTAAAAACAAATGAAATCATAGATATATTACAATCTGTAATTAAATGGAATCAATGATGCCAACATATCATTAAATTATTTTATTAACGCACTTAGCACATTTAGCCACATAAGTGTGTGAAGCGTAACAACATAAATGCACAAAATGTTTTACTAGATGCTTGGAATACCCTGGCAGTAAATGGAGCAATGTCAAACTCTATAATTTTTTCCTGTAATATTCCAAATATGTTTCACATATGTCACGTGTGGAACATAAGTCTGAGGTTTCATAATGGGTAGATGTCGAGCACTGGTCGGATGTTATCTACAATCATAACTTCTTTATTTATGCTATGTAATACAAATAGAATTGATCCTATGAAATGGGGTTACATTAAATATTAGGTTTTTAAACTTTGGCCAAAACTATTCACAATTACTGAACCTCGTAAAAACTCACTGACTGAAACATTGATTTTCAACTTTGTGTGCCGTGTAGATGGAAACTCAAGTATATCACATACCTGTGATACTGAAGGAATTAAAAATGAAATATAAATCCATCAGAAATAATGAATTCACATCTGTTATTCTAAATGGGTCACTAATATAAAATTGAATTTGTATGAGTAAACCTAGCAGCCGTCAAGGGCCCGGGCCCAGGCGGTGGCTGGTGGATAACCTCTATCGGTGCTGGCCATCTTAGAAACTTCATCACAGCACTGTGGCACTCCTCAATGACTTGGAGCACTGTAGATAGTACTCTTAGTCATCAACTGAGCATGCAAACTGTATGGGAGCTCTTATAGTGGTCTGGAAAAAACACACACACTCACACACACTCACACACAACATACATACACAACACTTAGCCACACTCAGACTCCCCTTCACACACACAATACTCCTCCACATACAAAATTCAGCATAACACATGTAACACTCAACCAGCACACTTAGCCCCACCCCCCTCATCCAGCTCTAAGCCTCATCCGCACGCACAACACACGACCACTACACACACTATCAAACACAACACTTAGTCTTCTACATACATATGCAACACTCATAGAACAGAGCCCAGAGCTCTAGAAGGAGGCCTCACCATGGCATTTTGTCAAGAGCCCTGTGTAACCTTAATAATTTATTAAAACCCATTGCATCTGGGTGGATAGTTTACTATTTTACACCACCAAACCTGGGATAGCAGGGGGTGGGGGAAGAATCACATCACAATGAAAATCAATAAAAAAAATTCTTATTTGATTATTTTTCACCCCAACATAAAGGAAGTGAATGGGCTGCGTGCTCAGCTTGGAGCCAGAGTCAATGTAGAAATTAATGCTGCTCCATCCATCGACCTGAACAGCGTTTTATCTGAGGTCAGAGAGGAATACGAAAACCTGATGGAGAGGAACCTCCGGGAAGTCGAGGGCATGTTCTTGGAAAGGGTAATGCAAATTATTTAATTGTCTCACACTTCTATACCCATTCTTGGTAATTAAAATCTGCTCACCACCATTTGTGTTTTGTGTTACTGGAATACAGCTGTCTTACTCAGTTGCAAAGAAAAAAGTTAGTTATTCTCTAAACTCAAAATATCATCAACTTAAATCTAAAAAAGTACGTAAAAATAGCTGATTTGGAAAAACTCTTGAGCTCAGTAATTTCACAGTTTGCCTTTTTTTTGCCATTAGGATTCAATTTCCCTAAAATTAAAAGTTTAAAGAATTATTCACTAATGTGTGAATTCAAAGTAAATTTAAAGTAAATTTCAAATTTAAGGTCAAATAAGCCAAACTAGAAACATTTTCTAAGTCAGCTATGCTTTTAGTTTAGCTACTCTAGACCTAAATTTGAAATTCACTTTGACTCTCACTACAGTAAATAACCCTTATAGGGAACCAAGTGAATTTATATGCAAGTTGTTCCTGAATGAAATTACACATTTCTAGATTCCAAAACACTATTGATCATAATCATGGTGCCTCACATGCTCTACTTTGCTAAAAAGACAAAAAAAAAGGAAAAAAGAAAGAAAATAAGCATACAAAGTTTTAAAAATGTGACTATTACTCAACGGATTCCAGATCAGTTTTAAACATAAGTGTAAATCACATATTTTAATGTTCCTTATGGGGTGGATATAATTTGGAGCTATATAAGTTACTCAAATAAAGAGAACTGAAGAACTTCCATTGGATGTTTTATTCTCCTTGCAGAGTGCAGTATTGGACCGCGAGGTATCTTCTGGATCTGAACAAATGCAGTCAGTAAATAATGAACTTATTGATCTCAAACACTCTGTACAGACCCTGGAGATTGAGTTGCAAAGCCAATTAAGTTTGGTAAGTAAGCTTTAATATACAGCACATGTGCAAAAACAGACAGATTGGTAGACCTACAGACAGTTAGATGAAAAATTGCTACACCTAGCAATACTATTAGCCTTAAAATAGCCATAAAATTATTTTACTTTTTAATGATATTTCAGGAATTATGGCTGCACACAATGACATTACGATTTATTTGTGGTTATGGGTTAACCAACATGTTTTCTCCATGTGTTCTACAAACTCTGCACTTACACTTAGAAAAAAAAAACTATGCTGAGAGTCGTGTAGTACCTCTGTAGTCAGTCTGTGATTTGTATTAACAAATATAACAGATCTTTTAATTTTTTTACTTTTTATTGAAACTCCTTTTGCAAGATACATGTGGCAGATAGTAAATTGATAGTAAATTGATATGTGTTCCATTACCACACAACCTTTCCAGTGAAAAAGTAAAAACAAATGAATAATCCTCTCCTGTAGCTCCTCTGCCAAATGTAAATTTAACGAGTGTCTCATCAGAACCAGTACAGTTTAATGTACCGGTCGTTGTTCTGGAGTCTATAGCCTGTCCCTGCATTCTTTTCAATATAAACACTGCCTTTTCAGAGAAACTTGCTGCTTAGTAACACCTCTAGTGGAAGTCACTCAGGCAGCCACTAAAGATGCTTCCTAATTCAGTTCTGCATTATGTGCAGCACCTACAGAAATCCTATGATATTATGAAATGTGTGGCTGTTCTCTGTCACAATGTGATTATGATAAATCACAAAGTATACAATTTCAGGCAAAAGATAATTTCCTTTGTTTTGTTTTTGTTTCCATCATTTTAGAAATCTGCTTTGGAAGGCACTCTAGCCGAGACAGAGGCCAATTTTAGATCCCAACTTTCCCAGTTACAGTGCCTCATTGATAATGTAGAATCTCAGCTATCACAAATCCGGTCTGACCTTGAACAACAGAACCACAAGTACCAGCTCCTCATGGACCAGAAGACCCATCTTGAGAGGGAAATCAGTACTTACAGACATTTGATGGATGGACATGATATTCAGTATGTAATAAAGACATTGCCATTTTTATTTTTTAAGTTTCAGAATGTATAATATGAGAAGGGAATATAAATACGTGCTGAAGGGGATATATAACAAACATTTTTAAAATGTAAATATTTGTTGACTAATATAATACACATGAAACAAAATTAATCTAATCTCAGCCTTTCCCAATTTTCCTTGCAGTTTCTCAGGTCACAGTTCTTCAGGAGGTAAGTAATGAGCATTATTAAAAGTCTTATATATGACATTAATTGTAATTATAATATTTCTTTGTTATGATGGCTAACTACTCATGATATCCGTTAAAAAACACAACTTTGTTATTTCTTATTATAATAACATTTACAGGGAAAATGTATAATTTCAAAACATGTTAGATTTAAGGAACAATTACCATGGAAACCAATAAAATGTGTCTTAACATTTACCACCTTGCAACAAAATAGCACCTGTTTAGTCTTGATAAAACTCCCGTAATGTGTTTAGCTATACAACACAGTTTTTAGATTGAAATCAATAATTATGATATACATACGCCATTATAATATTTAATAATATTGTTTAGAATTTTAAAAAGAAAATAGATGCATGACTAATAAATTACATTTATCAGAATGTTAAAAACTGTAATAAAAGTCAATTAACTAATTCTTATAGCTCCACCTATTGTGTATTTGTAATTGGGTGAGGTGTACAATTCTCTACAGAGTCTCCGTTTAAATTGCATTGATTCAGACATTCTCTAGTGTCAATATAATGATGAAGCTATATGTGTATAGTACTAAACTTAACATTGATGTCTCTTTTGTTTAAGGATTTCATCACAGCAAGTGCTAGAAGAAGTCCAGAAAGACATCAGTCTCTGAAACACGTGGATCTCTAGAGCAAAGAAGGAAATATTATACTGTCTACTTTTTCTGAATCTGGGTGTTGTGTTTCTATTATCTTTTTTTTTTATTTTGTTTTCTGTAGAGTGATTAAAGCAAGTGAAAAGTCCTATACAAAATATATCCACTGCAAGAGAAATTTGATCTGAAATATAACATGCACAGAACAAACATCGTGTAAAATTACTTTAAACCTCTTCATAGTGGAACTTAGTTTTTTTTAAACATTTGGTTCTACATAATGAATATAATATATGATCAACCACTCAAAAAATAAACATAAAGCTAGATAGATAGATAGACAGACAGACAGATAGATAGAGATATAAAAAATGACTTTTCTTTTCCCATGTTGGAAATATTTGGTAACTGTTTACTCATTTATAATTATGTTCACTAAATATTCAATTGGAAGATGTGTACATTGATTGGATTTTTTTTTGTTGAAGAAACTTTTGGACTGTATTGTCAACACTTTCTGACTGTGGCTATTTTTCTAACTGTCCTTTAGTCAAGATTTTGTTAATAAACTTTATCTGTATCATGCAAACTGGACGTTTATCTGGATGTTTTTTATAAGGTAACATAATGGAAAGAGCAAGCGTATATGATTCCATCCTATCTTGGTTTTACTTGTATGATTTTAAAGGAACATTATACAGTCAGGAACACAAACGTCCATTTCTGACCCTATAGGGTTAAAACACTATTTAGGGTGCTGGACTGACCCAGGAAGCACCTTTAGTAGCCGTCTGAGGAGTGGCCACTGGGGGTATCCCTAGGCTGTAATGTAAACACTGCCTTTTCTCTGAAATCCAATGTTTGCAGGAAAAAGCCTGCAGGGACTGACTATACTCACCTGAACAAATACAAGAAGCTGTTGTTCTTTTGGTGAGTGTAGTGTCCCTTTAGCCATTGATATCTATTGATGGAAAATTATACGCCTTGTTATTTAGAAGAATTGATGAGAAACCACGAGATGAAATGAGAACATTTAAGGCCTTGATTTAATCATTTGAATACACTTTGCAAATGATTTCATATTTTGAATTGATGATTTTACAATATTACAATATTTAAATATATTCCAAAATATCAAAAAAGTTCATTTACAAATATTAAATAAGTTGAAAAGTCTAGAAATGAAAAATCTGCAAAAAAGCTTACAAAGATATAATGACAATTTGTATAATTTATAAAATATTTAACTCTGAAATGAGAGCAGTATTGCAAAAATTAAAATGCCAGAACAGTTGGTTTTTGAACATTAATGTAAGGCTTTCATTTTGGCGCGAGGAATTCTACACGCCCACGATTCCTAATTGGCTCATGCGAGCATGTCCCATTATACAAATAGCCACAGAGGTCAATGGACCGGGTTATTGCCTTTGACAAATGCGCTTTAGCAGCGCCGAAACGCGCGTTAGGCTTTATGTCTCTTAATTTTTTTATTTTAAAATCACGCCACTTTTTTGTTTAGCACTTTGTTTGGAGTGAGGGTTATGAGGACAGACCTACTATATTTATAGTTAATTTAGGTAATGGGGGTATTTTAGGAGATTCAAGAATGGGTTTCAATATCTAGGGACTCTGTTTTCACAATCACCTTAATAGCACGGTCCTACATATAGCCAGTGATTTACAAGACAGTGATTCTACTGCTTACTATTAGGCCGAACAGTTTTTTTTATGATTCCATCTATAGGTGGTCCGCATGTAGCTATATGTTACTCTTTCCTTTTGTTTTTTACAGACAGACATTTGGTTTCAATTTGGCAACCTCTCATCAAGCGCCTGTTCAAGGCATCTAAGTGTCTATATTCTAGGAACTACTGCATAACATCATCTGTTATAACTCTATTAGAAATATTCTAGTACACTTAGGTCTGAGAATTGTTTGAACCTATCATTGTATACTAACTATAGATTGGATTTATATCCATTTTTCAAGTCTCTTTCTCTAAAGCTGAACACCCACCGAAGTTTGCCATTTAGCTACCCCTGATAACCCACTAATCCCATGTCCCTATTAGGTCTATTGAGCCTGTTAGCTCTCCTCAAGGATTTAGATGTGGAGTGATTAGTTATTTTGTTTGTTTTTTCTTTTGTATTTTACGATTTATAATAAAATGTGTTTTTAATCGTATTTACTAAAGATACTCTGAGGACTCTTTTGTGTGCCCCTGGAACCTCCTGTTCCTGTATCACACTAGCGTTTGTTCTTCAACTTGTTAAGGGTTACCCCCTGTTAGAAATCCTCAGGACACACTAAGAGCCCCCTTTCATAGGGGCTCTTTCCGTTTCTTTTCATTTCACTCATAGATTGCATGCTAAGTTAAGCAGGTACTTCTTCACCTCATTCAATATCCCCATTCAATAATTGTAAAATGTTGTGAATATGTTGTAATGGATCCCCTATACTCCGACTGAGTATATCCGTTGAAGAGTCTCCCAGTTCCCGAAGTAAAGCAGTGATTATAACTCTGAGCTACCCAAACATCAGACAAGATTTGATGAAGGGTACAAATGAACTCCTTTATTATGGCCAAGTTGCCTGCTTATATACACAACACCCAGCAGGGGGTCTCCATACAATACAATGCAAGCCCCTCCCAAAGATATCTGTGCCTGGGAGATAATTGCGTTAAAGACCGGTAAGCTAACAATCTCCAAGGAACAGAGAGGTAAACACAAAAACGTAAAAAAAAAAAAAATCATAAAAATAAACAATAACCCCACAAATAATACATCCCCAAATAGCCCTGATCAGAATGCCCACATTCTCCAAATAGCGCTCAGATCCATGCAGTGTAGGGGAAAAATGCCACTGTGTTAAAGTTCTGGCCAAAATAGTTTCAAATTAGTTTCAGGGCATTTGGTGCTTTTGCCGGTCAACTTGCGGGAGCTCCTGCGTCCGAAATATGGGGTGCTCCGCCTGGCTCATAGATAGCATTTGCGCCCCTTAGTCTCAGTTGCAGGAGAGGAGTCATGGGGTGTGGGGGATAATAACATGCAAACAGTTTAATCAATATGCTTACTTGAAGAAGTGAGTTTTCAATGATTTTTTAAATGAGTGAAGACTGGGTGAAAGTCTTATGGAGAAGGGATGGGAGTTCCACAGAAGAGGTGCAGCCCTGGAGAAATCTTGGAGGCGAGCATTAGAGGTGGGAGTATGGACAGAGGATATAAGTAGGTATTTGGCAGAGTATAGGGGCCTCGACGGGGCATACTTGTGTATTAGGGAGGATAGGTAGGTTGGATCAGCATTATGTAGGGACTTGTAAGCAAGCACCAGAATTTTAAATTGAGCTCTATATCTAACTGGAAGCCAATGCAGGAACTGACAGAGGTGGGAGGCGTGGGAGGTGCGAGTGGACAAGAAAATGAGCCTAGCCGCCGCATTCATTATAGATTGCAGCGGTGCAATCTGGGAACATGTAAGACCACTGAGAAGGGTATTGCAGCAGTCAAGGCGAGAGAGAACAACAGCATGGACCATCACCTTTGCCACATCTGTCGTTATATAGGGGCGAATGCGCGCTATATTTTTGAGATGGAAGCGACAGGATTTGGTGATTGGTTGGACATGAGGGGTGAAGGAGAGGTTGGAGTCAAAAAGAACACCAAGGCAGCGAGCCTGCGAGGTAGAGGTGATGGTAGCGCTGTTGACTTGGAGGGAGACAAACACGGGAGTAGTGACACTTGAGGGAGAAAAGACCAGAAGTTCTGTTTTGGACAGGTTGAGTTCAAGGAAGTGAGCAGCCATCCAGTTGGACATGTTAATTGTAACTAAATAATTCTAGACAACTGATGAGTTCCCTAATGTTTTGTTGGACTATTGGTCTTTGCAGAGATCAGGACTGGAAGGGACTTTGACTGAAATGCAGGCTACCCTCAGTTACCAGTCTCCGAGATACAGTGTCTCATTGATAACATGGAAGCTTAATTGGCACAAATCCAGTCTGACCTAGAACATAACTCTGACTAACAACATCTTATAGACCAGAAGACCCATCTAGAAAGGGAAATAAGTATTTACAGACATCTACTGGATGGACACAACATTCAGTGAGTAGAAAACATTTTGTCACATTAAATGCTTATACTGATTTTTTAAATTTAAATATACAGTGCCCGGCCAAAAAAAAGACACCACCAAAAAACAAAGGTCACAGACTCTAATATTTAGTTGGAACATTTTTAGCTTTGATTATGGCACACATTCTCTGTGACATTGTTTCAATAAGCTTCTGCAATGTCACAAGATTTATTTCTGTCCAGTGTTGCATTCATTTTTCACCAAGATCTTGTATTGATGGGAGAGTCAGACCACTGCGCAAAGCCTTCTCCAGCACATCCAAGAGACTCTCAATGGGGTTAAGGTCTGGACTCTGTGGTGGCCAATCCATGTGTGAAAAGGATGTCTCATGCTCCCTGAACCACTCTTTCACAATTTGAGCCCGATGAATCCTGGAAATGTTATCTTGGAATATGCCCATGCCATCAGGGAAGAAAAAATCCATTGATGAAATAATCTGGTCATTCAGTATATTCAGGTAGTCAGCTGACCTCATTCTCTGGGCACATAATGTTGCTGAACCTAGACCTTACCAACTGCAGCAACCCAAGGTCATAGCACTGCCCCCACAGGCTTGTACAGTAGGCACCAGGCATGATGGGTGCAACACTTCATCTGCCTCTCTTCGTATCCTGATGCACCCATCACTGGTAGTTCCCCACTATCCTTACAGTTTTTATAATGTGTTGGACAGTTCTTAACCCAATTTTAGTAGTTTTTGCAATCTCCTTAGATGTTTTCTCTGTTTTCTCTGTTTGATGCATGCCAATGATTTGACCCTTCTCAAACAGACTAACATCTTTTCTACAACCACGGGATATGTCTTTTGACATGGTTATTTAAGAAATAAGTAGCTACTCATTGCTTCAGTT